TAAATTTCCATTTTCAAAACTCTTGAATTATAACTGTTGATAAAGAACAATTTCTCATCATTCATATATGACCCAAAACACCATCTTTAATTCATCATGTCAAAAATTGTGAATGTCCCGCATTATATGACGTTAGATCCTGCTTTGTACTATACAAAATAGCATGTACAGAGCACACTCTAATCTGACCCTTCTCAGCAATGTTGGCAGTATTTCAACAGTGGAGATAAGAACAGTGATACTTTCATAAACTATGTGAGAAAAATGTGGCAGACGTCCCAACAGTTCTTAAGGATTAAGACAATGTTCTGTAGGTGTAACATCTGTTGTAGTGATAAGACTTTCTAGTCTTAGCACATTCCACTTACTAATGAAACTTTTATTCAACAAAATCAGAGAAATACATGTTACTAATTACATCTGTATGCACACGATCAAAATCCTACCACTATTAAACAATAAAACAATGTAACATTATAAGCAATTAACATTGATAATTAGCCTCTACCAGCCTTTAAAGGCAGTTAGAAAGAGTAGAAATTGGATATACAAAATGCGAGGGGAATACAGTTTGCCGCTCTGAAGCCTGGTAGAGGCTAATTGACAATGTTAATGAGTTCTTGACACACAGAAAATGAGTCAGCACCTTTATCGGTAGTCTTTATAACTAGACATTAAAGCTGGTGTGTTTAGCCGAAGGGCGTTTATACCGACTATACCTATAACGTTACAGATACAGAGACATCACCAAAGGAGTGATTCACATTGTTTGTTTGACGCCTCTTCTAGGAGTGGCAATGTTTGTATGGAAACTGGAATGCTGCTTTGTATTTCATACCACTGAGGTCAATTACATGCACTTCATGCTGTGCCTTTATACCCAAAATAGTAGTTACCAACTTTGACTCACTCATCACCATTCATTTATAGCACTGCAACAGTTGCAACACTTCAAAAATATATGTAAATGAATATCCCTCACCTTAATGCATCAGAATGGAAGTCATTATAAAATAGTGGTGTATTTACAAACATTGAAGATCGTGTCAGACTTTTTCAAAGGCATCTTGAAAGATATGACTGGTATGGCTGGACCAATTGCCATGTGGAGATAAAACCCAACAGCAACAGGCTAAACTTATCAAAGTTTGAGGTCACTGCTACAAACAAACGTGTTTACAAAATCAAATGTAAACAATAACAATATTCAGTTACAGGGCGTAAAATGAACCAATTTCAGAGAGTACTTTCCCTTAGGATTTCAGACATACCAGAAGAATGCGATTTGTGAACCCAAGTGACAAAATTGGCCGTGCCTAATCATCACAAAACGTTGGGCTGGCCGTACCTGCCGGGCTGACAGATCCGCCTGTGTCTCCGCTGGATCATCACAGGAAGCACAACATGCACTAATGAGTAAATCCTAACAAAGAACAAGTCTCTTTGATAAGCTTCAATCTTACTCATCATGGATTCATCCCTCCAGGGGGGCTGATAATATCAGCCATATGCCCCACAATAGCCGCTGAGCCTACTGAGGTAAAAACAATCGCTGGATGTCAACAATACACGGATTTATTCACACATGACGTACCTATAACACATGTGATATATTGTGGACAATTCCACCCTCAATTAGCTCAGGCATCATATGGGGAATAATTAGTGGAACAATGGCATAAATCGTGCCTACTCCTACTCACACCTGTGCAGCCACCAACTCACCACAGGACCGGGGACAATCAACCTCCACAGGTAACTCTGCTGAGGAGAACTGTCAAATTTTTTAAACAGGGAGAATGATTAGTTATCTGATTATCAAATAACCCCTCAGGGTACAGCATTGATAATAATCTATTGCTGAAGGATTCATAGCTCCAGTGTAGGGTGGGAGATGGAGCAGAAAAATGGTTTGTCAGTTCATACAGTAAAACCCTTTAATAGGGGGGGGGGTTTAGGTGGTTGTTCATAAACCTCTTCAAACATGTAGAAATACATCTAAACCTGATCAGGGATACAAAGTCAGTGTTATTACAATGTTATCATGTTTAAAAGGGTGAAATTCAATTTCTTAGTTTGTAGTGGGGCAGGCATTGTGGCAAAACATGCCATGTACATGGTGTTTTAGTGCACTGTGACTGACTGTAATACATGTATATGCAGTATTTCCCTGCATTAAATGTGCTAACAATAACACATTGAAGTCATGACATATAGAATTCACATTAATCGTAAAAGGGAGCTTTGATACAACTTTATTAGCTCTTTATGAATCTTGTACAGGAAAAAAATTAAACACACAATTCCTGTCATTGATTCTTCAACTTTTTCTGATAAAGATTGTCTCATGGTGCTCATCAAGTCAGACAGGATGGACAAACAAAGGCCTCAATTGATATCATACATCTGTTTTGTTGGAGGGAAGGTGAGTTAACAACACCTGGACAAAAGACATAAAATCCCCGAACATCCCGCGAACCAGGAGGGGTCAGAGTGACATCGCCATCCGGACCTGTGGAACAGTGCCCTGCTTGTTCCCGGGGTCGTTGATCCCAGGAAACAATATGGAAGCTGCTGTAATCCATCATAATACCCGCTCAGGTGGGCTCAGCAGGTAGCTACTGTCAGGGTGAACTGTGACTCACTCTCAAGTATTCAACTTGCTTCTGTCCATACTGACTTCTGATAAATGGTTGTTTCCTACAAATACTGCCACAGGGCTTGAAATACTGGGTGCATGTGCACACTTTTGGATACCAAAATAGGTTTAATATTGTATTTGCATATGTAAGGTACCATGCTGAATCAGGTCAGTGTTCCTGAGGGCACTATAAACTTGAAACTTGTCATTTATACAATAAGACACAGAATGAGGCACAAAATTCCCTGTCATCCCATCACTATTTGGAATTACAAATTCTAGATTCTGTCCTGTTTTTTTTTTTTTTTTTAGATTTTCGTATGACACAGCTAGTTCTGAGAACTGTTACAGCTTTCGTATTCCATTATTCCTCACCACGTCTTCTTGCGTACTGAGACATTATTTGGTTTGGCCGTGAGTCATTTCTTTATGTAGCAATATTACCTCATGAATAGATTCGACTTTAAAAAAAATTCTATAGGGGCTAAAGGCCAGCAAAGTTTGAGACCCGGATATTTAACTTACAAGTCCCTTTTACTGGAGATTATAATAGAAGGTACTTAGAACATTTCATTGAACCACAACAAAGAATGGTCTGCACATGTTAAGTTCCTGAAATGCCTATTCAACCAGAAAGACTAACTGTACTCTAATTACAAGGATCTGGGTCTTTTTTTGCCAGCTATTTTCAGACGTGCTGTGGAGAAGAGAAGCATGTGACAAAAGCGCCACTGCACACTAGTGACAGGAAAAGGAACTGCAACAAAAATGCACTCATCCCAAGCCACAATACAGATACTCGTCTTTGTAGTAATTGATGAAATATAAAATACATGTAGTACAATTTTAATTTAATGAAATACCATGAAAATTTGATGAGGTCTTCAATGGTAAAAATCTGTGTACCTGGTACACTGTATGATTGAAGATACAGTACTGTTACTAGTGTTAGTGTAGTGCAAAGAAGTGGTAGCCAGACAGACATGACATGTGCAATATAATATCTTTCACATACAAATCGTGTATGAATACTATGATAAGAACATCTTTGTCTACCTCCTGTTGTTGTTAAACAAATACATGTGTATCTATTATCATATATAGGTGACTAGGTGCATTGAAAGTATAGCCTGGGTGCCAACCTCCGTAGTTTCCGCCCCCTCCCTTATGTAGCTGGGCCCAGCGGGGAGCGGGCGGAAAATACGGAGGATAGCACTAGGGCTATTTAAAGCACACACACATAGTGACATAATCATGTATCCAGTAGTGCTATCCTTACCTCCAGGCTGCAGGAAGGTCCGTCCCACCTCCCCGTACTGACTGAACATGTGACGCAGGTTTTTAGGGTTCATCTTTTGCGGCAGGTGGCTCAGGTACACCACACCTGGTTCTGATGCCAGCGCTGCTGCCATCACCGAGTCGTCTTCGTCTGAAATATGAGGGCCTGCATGGGGGGCAGTGATTATGAATTATGCAAAATTTTCGCTGCCAATTATGAATTACGCTAAAGCCTCAGAGCTGATTACGTCTTTACGCTTTGCAGTTAATGTTCTATTACGAATTACGTTGATTTTTGGGGAGTCTGCCTACGGATTTTGAAGACTAAAATGGCCTGATTACGCCTTACAAAAAAGGCAATGCAGTCCCCCCAAATGTCAAAAGTCATGCATGCAGCCTGATGTGTATGTAGCATGATAGCAGAGCTTTTTAAACTCTGGAAACTCTTGGAAATTGGTGATCATTTTTAATCAAAGGATTTGGTTCCAAAAGGATTTCATCAATTCAGTATCAACATTCACAGATTCAAGCATCTGGGTTGACGAATTAAATACCATATTAAAGTGACACACAGATTTAGACCCCTCAGTCTAAAATGAATGAATAAGCCTAATCCTAAAAAGTATGACTTTGACTGCCTTCTGAAACATCCTTTTTTTCAAAGGATGTTTTGCCATCTTTTATTTTCTTAACACATATCTTTACAATTAATTTGCCTTGATCATTTACCTAGCCAACTTTTCCGCATAAAACTGACAAAGTTATGTTTTCAAGCTTGTCTAGCTACATCCGCCAAACCGGAAGTGGGGAGGGGGGCAAAGTAACTTCACATGCAGCATCACACTCTGATCTTCATACCTACCTGTACTACTCATGACCTACCTTTGTTTTGTTCAGTCTCCACATCACTGGAGCATGAGGCTTCCCTCTCTGCAGACATGACGAGATAAGTGTGCCCAAAATATGAACTTTTCGATGACCAGAACGGTCGATCGGAGCAAGTACGAGCAAGTACCAACAGTTCACTTCGAGTCAGGTCGCTACCTCCGGTCTATTTTGGCCCTCGAGCTGGTATCTGATAAGGACACTAAACCATAATCGATAAAGACCGCAGTCACTGGCGATAGGCTTGTGAAAATTACATCAAAACAACTCGATATGCAGAAATTATTCTTTCCACGTGCAAGAAACAATTCTGAACCTCAGTCAACCAGACTATACCATTACAAATTTAAGGGGGAAATTTTGCTGAAAACAATTTGATCAGGTGAACATATCACCTTTTTCACCTTCATGCACAACAATTGAAATAATTTTGTCTATTAATTTATTGTCGGTGGTAATAATTACTTCATTTTTAGTGTAAGACATCATATCACTATATATAGACCAAGAAGGTTAAATATTCTAAACCCTCTGCTTCAATCTTGTTAGAGGAACCCTAGTATTTTTCAGCGGTGTCGTTACGACCTCTAGCGGAAGTGTTGTCAAACGCAGCCTGAAAATCCTTTGTTTTTTGCACAATACGGTATTCTTCGTGGTTTTATGCCAAATATTCAATGTGCTTCCCACATAGATGCACGTGAAAGTGTATTCATTTGGTTTTGGCAAGTTAACATGGTCTCACAAACGATTTCTGACACCACAAATATAGACACCCTATGCCTATTTTGAGACAACCTTCTAGGCTACCCTAAAGCAAAGGGGTGACATATGATATAAGCATACTAATAACTCATACTGAACAATTTGTTTTACACATTTCAAGATAAAATCATTAGTATTTTAAAATATATGTAATATTGATTTAATTATGGATATATATCTACTGACTTTGTACAGAAATCATTTCTAAAGATACTACTCGACCCCCACCAATTGTGGTCTATTCCGCCGGCTGGGACCTGGAAAAACAACAACACCGTGACGGAAAACAGACGGCTTCGAGCCAGAGGTCGCGTCAAATTCAGGTTTGCTTCGCTGTGGTCTGAATTTCCCATTCCTAGAAAAACGTCTTCACGTTACAGCCGTTGTTGTCAAGGGGCTGGAGGAAGCTAACGCTGACGTAAAAACAGCTGTGAGCCATTGAGAAAAAATTATCTGCCAGCTGGGTGGAGGGGCCAAAGTTGAAGGGTCCTTGACCTGTAGTACGACTCGAACGTTAGAGTTTGAAATCAGCCTTAATTTTAGTGGGTGAGTCACAGCCTAGATTTTTGTTTGTCTGCAATTTGAAGAAGCAACTGCGAGCTATCCTCTCTGGAGTCATCTATGGAGAAGTGCATCTGAGTCGGGTGCTTTGATAGAAATTCTAAAGGTAGGTTGTAAGAGTTTCCTGATTTTGATTTGAAGTGGTTGCACCGACCTTAATTTTTGCTGGTAACGTTTAAGTTAATTAGTCTCAAATGTGGAGACCTGTTGGTCGAGTACATCTACCAATGCTTCAGTACATTCGATGCGTTAAAAATCCACCATTAAATACGTGGTATCGTATAAATCAAACATTTGTTCTTACATTGAAGTGTGAAATATGACACCAGTTGCATTGTTTGATACAACTTGTTAGTTAGTACAAGATCTCACATATGATAGCATAAATTTGGTTATCTAACTACACAATAAAATGGTATTTTCCACATTTAGACTTATGAAATTCAATTTGAAATTCAAACGTTGCACAGTTGTGTCATGCTTTTCATACACAAAATATTCAAAATCTATCAATAAAATGTCAAAACAAAGATCAAAAACAAAATTGTTTCAAAACAAGTCTGTTTGAATGGTGTAGTTTCAAGTTCTGCTCTCCCATGTTGGTATAGATGTTGTGACAAGGACGTGTGCAAGGAGCTATAAAGACTGTTGCTACCTTTGACGCCACCTGGATCAATACTAATGTAGTTTCACAGTCAGGGTCATTTATAACATGCAATTGTCTAGTGGGCTGAACCATCGTATGCCTGGATAGGAAGGTCGTGGCTTTAAATCTGGGCTGACAGAAATTAATTTTACCAAGGAGCTTTCGTCCTTGATTTTACAAAAATGTGTTCAGTCAAAATTTACTCTGACATATTTATTTTTAATACAAATGATATGGAAAATACGGGTTGGACTGTTGGAGCAAACAAAAATGACATCACCTGCTGATATGGAATGACGTCCTGCTGGGGTCATTCATATGAAGCAAAATACAATTGTGTATGCCATCATATGTCTGGTGTGTTATTGCAAAGGAGAGCTCCACCAGTTATACAGATACAGATGTCATTGTACACAGCTAGATTAATCACTTCTACAAACATAGGCTAATGCACCATTCAATGTCTCAATTGTTTGCAATGAATGTCTCAATAATATTATATACAGTCATTTTTGTCAGTCTATTGTGCAATCAAGTTAAAATGCAAAAGTTCAGGCGGAAGGACTACAGGTGTGCTTGCAAATAAGTCTCTCCCATTTACCTATTTTAATTTTTTTAAAGATGTTTAAAGTTCAAATTTGGATCCAACACAATAAAAGTTATCTCATCTAGAGCTTTTTTTAAAGATGTTAATCTTTGGATGTGTAAGCAACAGCAACATCTCAAAGTCAAACGACTCAAAGACCGCCCCTTCTGTACTACAATGTAGTAGATCTGTTCTGAAGTTCCACCTGTGTTCATGAACCGTTCACTGAAAATTTCAACAGCCTGCAGCGTGTTTGTGAATGTGTACCCTACTGTGTCATCCTTTCGTCTGGAGGTCAATCCGCACTTGTTCATGTCAATTCTGATTACTGAGGCTGACAATCCCGTGCCTTCTGTCTGCAGGTGTTAGAGTTACCTGAGTGAGAAGAATGGTTGAGGAGAAGCCTGCGTTATCCCTGCCCCAGGCCCTGTGGCAGAAGTACTCAACTCTAGACGATGAGCTACCCTTGAGTTCAAGCAAAATCTTCATAGCTGGCAACGCGCCTGGCAAGGATGCCTCAGGTAAGAACAGCGCTTGGCCGTTAAAGACACGCCCTGTGTACAGTTGTCTTTTGTTCTTTGCCATGATTAAAAGGTGTCCTTAGGCCATTTCAGTTTGAGAGGGTGGCTTTTGTATTTGTTTAGAAACAAAAATTCTCAGAATGTAAAATTGTTCAAATGTATATCAAACTAGAGTTCGTAGAACACATGCTTTCGTCAAGTGTGGATGTGTTCATATCCTTTCGACTTTTTATTATATCCAAGTCGGCCTTGGTGCACCATTTTTCAACTTGAACTAAATTTTAACAACAGCCTCCCACATGCCATATCCTTCTGACGAAAGCAACTAGACCTAAGCAAGAAACTTCTTTGATCATGTTAGTAAATGTACATTTTACTGCTTATCTTCAACTGGTAACTTCTTCCTTTTTTTACCATTTAACATGATTTGTTAGTGCACTCTTCCCCTCATTGTCTCTTCCATCCCAACAAAACTTCTCTGTATGTTTTTAGGGACTCTGCGTCTGCCTCCAGTCCTGGCTGTGCACAACTTCGGCATCACCTGTGGCGGGGAGGAGGGGGAAGTGTCCCGCCTGTGCAGCCAGGTCACGGAGCTGGACATCACGCAGAACTGCATCAGCCAATGGCAGGAGGTCTTCAAGATCATGCAGCAGATCCCGCAGCTGACGTTCCTGAACCTGTGTAACAACCCGCTGTGCTGTGACATCCCGGCTGGGCTGGCCGTCCCCTCCTGTCCACAGCTCAGACACCTGGTACTCAACAGTACTCAGGTAAACTGCTGTCACATAGGATCTATAGTATCTTCACTGTCATCTGACTGTAGTAGTAAAACATGCATTATAGAATGGCTTTTTAAACTATATTTGTGAAAATGATCTTTGGACCATCCAATAGCAGTAATACACTTCATTAGACTTTTGTTAAACTTACATTTTTTCAATTATAAGGGCAGTTTCATATGGGAGATTTGATGTGTTTGCATTGTTTTTCCAGGTTCCATGGAAGGCATTGTACAACATTCTGGAGCATACACCAAATGTGGAGGAGCTCCATCTAAGTCTGAACAACTACTCTAGTGTAGAACAGCATCCACAGTCATTCCCTAATGTTAAGGTCCTCCATTTTAATGGGAATAACGTACAGAGCTGGGCTGAAGTCTGCAAGCTGGGTCAGACCTTCCCCAGTCTGGTAAGTCTGGTCATGCACGAGGCTCCGCTCAAGGACATAGAGGCACCCGTGGAGCAGCTCCAACAGGCTTTCCTGTGCCTGCAGAAGCTGAACATCTCCAACACAGGGGTGGGGTCCTGGGAGAGTCTGGAGAAGTTCAACAGCCTGCAGCAACTGAAGGATGTCCGGATGCTGGGGGTACCACTTTTTGACGACATCGTGGATGAGAAGCTTAGAAGACAGATGGTTATAGCCAGGATGCCGCGTGTTGTTCGCCTGAACGGAAGCTCTGTGAGTGAAGAGGAGAGAGAAGACGCAGAACGAGCTTTCATCCGACACTTTCTGGACAGTGAGGAGAAGCCGGAGAGGTACCACACCCTGGTCGGCATCCACGGAGTCCTGGAGCCTCTGGTTGAGATTGACTTGTCCCCGCAGACCACCGCTCACGTCAAGGTCACGTTTGAAGAACACGTGAAGGTCATGGACCTGAACGTGGAGCAAACTCTGAAGGAGTTCAAGAGAAGCCTGAAGGACTGGACCGGGCTGCCTCCCAGCAAGCTCCGCGTGATTCACGTGGACACAGAGATCAACTACGACGGGCATATCTGTCATCACGAGGAACTGAGATATGCGGACAAAAACTTGTACGCCTACAATATCAAGGATGGGGATGAGATCTTGATATGGCCCAGGCCTCCCTCCCTACCATCATCGCCGTCTAAGAAGAACCCACCAAAGTCTGCCTCAGGCCCTGACGACAAGTTCCAGGCCAAGAAAGAGCTGCAGATGTGAGAGGGCAGTGTCCTGTGCAATGTAGGGTCTCTTGGAGACCTTGTGAAGTCCCGGCTGGGTTCTTAAAACTTAAAGAAGTTAAACTTTTTCTTTTAACTTAGAGGACTGATGCTGTTTTTCCAGTGCAGTTGCCTAGATCATAAGGTTGAGTCAATAGGGCGTACTTACAATTTACTGTCAACCAATATTCTGTGCTCTCAGGGATGTATGTCATCCTTTTATATGTGCTAGCCAACCAATGGGTAGGAAGCTTTGTGCAAACAGTTTTGTGAGAAAGACGTCTGCAGAAAAGGGTATTCCAGCAAACCAAGCACAACTACGCACAAACCTTTGCCATGCCTTGACTACATACATAAACATTACAATCAACGATGTGCATTGTACAATGTCCATTTCTATCACAACTGTGGTCCCAGTCTACAAGATAGGTCTTCATCTGCACAGTAATGTTACCTGACTAAGAGTGAACTATAGAAGGTCTAAATAACCAAATTTTCATCTCTTCTGAGTGGTGTGACAAGTTTTGTCAAGTTTGGTAAAGTCATGTGTCTAACAAAGTTGTTTTTCTTTTACATTCTAAAAAAGAGCTGATTCTTTAATCATAGATACAGATTATAGAAATTATGGTAGTAATGTAAAGTATGAGTGCAGAATGCTGCCTATGATGATGACATGGATTTTACTGAGACCATTATTGTACTGTCAGACTAAGGTATTAGATGCCATTTATCTAAGGATGTCTTTCAATCATAACATTTACAGTGTATTCGAAATGTAAATGAACGGTCAAATGTATCTTGCATGTATGTAAACATTGCAATGGTGTAAAGATGATTAGATGTTTTATCATTCTTTGTGTAAATGTATGCAAATGCATGTAAATCTGCAATATGTCCTAGATGCGTGGATACTATGTTTTCTGAGCTCTTGTTCTGACAGTTTAAATACTGTGCCATGTAAGGTTCAAAAGACAAACAGGACATGTCATTGGTAATACAAATGTATGCTCAAATGACATAGGGGTTTTCTGTGAAACAGTAATGGTGAATTGTACAATAGTCTCGGTGCTTATTCTACTGTACTGTCACCAAGGATTGAACACTGTATTAGACATTCACCCAAAAGAGTTTTACTAGAAGGTGACAAGGTCATCTGTAATATGTACAGAGAAATGAAACAAGCTTCATTGTAATACGTGGTGATTTCAAAGGTTTTGTTGTTTCATAAAGTTGTAAAAGATGTTTTCAACAAGAATGTGCTTAGCCAGTTTCATATCATTATTGTCCGATTCTCCCCAATACACGTTATTTGACATTCTGTTGATGCCTCATTAGTCATTGCAAAAAGCAAAATTTGACATGGATAATAGAAAGTCTGATATGTCATAACGACATTGGATACTTATTTTTTACATTTGAACAAAACTGTCCCTGGTACAGAACACCATCCACGCACAGGGCAAACAGTCCTGTCCTTGGTGCTGAACACCATCCATCCACACAATGACCATACCACTAGCTATAGTGCTGAATACTATCCACACAGGCAAGTAGACCTGTCCCTAGTGTCAAACACCATCCACAAACAGGCAAACACGCCTGTCCCTTTTGCGTGCTGGACACCACAGAAGCAAGCACATCTGTCCTTGGTGCTGAACACCATCCACACGCAGACACCACAGAGAGAAAGAGAGAGTGCGATAGAATGCACTTCCAAAATCACTTCTTGTGATGGTGAAATGCAGAGCACTTCTTGTTAACTTTCTAAAGAAATGGTTGACGACGTAGATCATCTCAAAACTAATCACAATGAAACGGCCGTTGTATCTTTTGCACAAAATTGTCTTATATACGCGAGGATGTGGTAACAGAAGAGTACATGTAACTCACACACAAGTTCAAACCAGTTGACTGACAGATGCTGGACGTGACAGTAAATGCTGTAGACTAAACAATCGCTCTGTAGGGTTGTTATCGGTTTGGTGGAAAATTACGGGACTATGGCCATGGAAACGTGTATAACCATTTCCTGCTGTCGAGACTTTTTGGTATTCAGTTGCAACAGGTTCAGGATCAGATGCCAATATTATCATCACCATATTTGATGGTAGAGGAAATATGGAACTATCGTAAATGTATTTAGATTTCGCACACGTCTTGAAAATGTGTGGCGTTATTGTATATTTATGGCCCATCCCTGTTACAACGCAGCGTTTATCTGAGTGGGTGAGATGGAACAGATAATGTTCAGGCAAATTGTCATATTGAATAACGTTATATATAAAAAGAATGCACCGACTCATCAACTATGATGACTAGATGTTCGTTTGTCACAATGTATTTCTTACCTCCAACACCTCTAAGTCAGAAGCGCCATGGTTTTACTATCTTAGCTCAAACTTTACACTAATCCTCATATAACCTTGTTTGGACCATTCCTTCTTTCTGTACACAGAAAACGAGATTCCGGGGTTGTTTAAAGCCTTTTTAATGATTTGATTTGATGGATTCAAATATGCAGATGCTAGCGTTGGTACTAAATGACTGTTACTCCGTTGGCGTTCACGTTGCTATGTAGCCGCGGCGACTGTTGCAGGGCTACTCTTGCTTGCAGTCTTTTACATTAGCCCTAACAACAAAGTGTTCCGGCACGGTAAAACGCATGTTTGTTCATTTGGCCCAATGCACCGCTCCGCGACTGTTGTTAGGGCTAATGTAAAAGACTGCAAGCAAGAGTAGCCCTGCAACAGTCGCCGCGGCTAGTTGCTATTCATCTACATCTATATAACCAACTATAAAGGGATAATGGTATCATCAACGATGCATACAGTCCATATAATCCACTGTTACGAGAAGTTGACATGGAAACAGCAAAAATAGCTACATGGATCAATGACCTCAACTTTAGCATTAGCGATGTCATAAAAACAGTCATTTGAACCGGATTGTGCTGACAAGTGCACTGCCTGTGTGCCTGGGCGTGTAGTCGGCATTTCACGACTATTACTCATTCAGTACTAAATGGATGAACTTCCTTTTATTGCAGTTGACATATTTTTAAGTAACAGTTGTGCTGTCATCGGTAAACATGTGATGATCAGAGAACGCCGGGTGTAGCCAACACAAGTTCAAAGTCATCGTGGACGAGTTGTTGAGACATCCCCTGTTTATTCTCCGGTCAATGTCGCGCTGTTTCTCCTCCTTGTTTTCGGCCTTGCCAAGGTCGCCGTTCTTCCTGGATTAGCAGAAGATCAGTCCGTGTTTCCTGTCCGGTGAGCGGTGATGACTCGGGACAAGTGCGCCCAGACAGACCGACGACGTCCCCGGTATTATAAATCAGATAAAGACACCAAACCCGTCCAACCTCTCACGCAGATAGAAAATAAAATACGACTGACATGTCTTTAATGGTGTTTTAGGCCCATAGTTCATTTAACGTTTGGGTTTATTAGGCACGTCTGGTTGTTATCACCAAGAGATGATTCCCCCTAAAATACTGGACGCACATACCGCGATATCATGTTGTCGTCAACACAAGGGCGTATGCGTAATACGAGACACAAGCCTTCGTGAGAAAAGAGCCCATCTTGCCATACTGTCTGTCACTTGGCATAATTAACAACCGCCAACCCTCGGCCAGCATACCTCAGACCGAGCCCTACCACCAGTTTAAAGTGTTTGCTGACCATGCACAGAATGACTGGAATGCTCGGTTTATGGCTTACGTACTTGTCCGTTGTTTGCGGGTTGATTTTTGTTTACGTTTTAAATCGTTATGAAAGCAAACCCATTGGGTGGTTGATGTAAATAAAAAGGAATAAATAGACGGGCAATGTTCCAAACGTGCAGCCTATGGGATCATAACTGCCGTGCCTATCAGGTGTCCGACGATCTATTTATCACTGTCAGCGTCTGACGACTAATTTCAGGACGCGGATAGAGATAAATCATAAGGTCGTTTGGAGCCTGGTGTGTGCGCTAACTGCCGCAGAGCGTCCTGAGCTACATACAGCAGCCATGGTGATCTACAGCACCGACCGCCCATGGAACTACGACTGCAGCTTCGTGGGCGGCACCGGCCGGAGGAAGCACTTCCGCCAGCAGGTGTACATGGTGTTCCCGCCGACCTACTCCTCCGGGCACCACGGATCGGCTGCCTACTTCACCACGCCTACCGCCGCCGTCCGCCTCAAGCTCAACAGGTCCCCGACCGCCCGCAGGAGGTAAGGTGTGACGATGGCAATGACATCGCCCTGATGTTGTGGAGTTAATCCAGCTTGACATAATCCTTCTTCGAGTCATAAACAAGCCGACGAAGGTGGTTGAACACAAATCATGCTAAATCGTTATTCATACCAGCCACAGCTGAAGAAACGGTAACATTTGGTAACCTTTGTGCGGCTTTGATGTAACTAGCTGGGTCTGACGCTCAGTCCGACGCCTAAAATCTTTCAGATCTTTACACCAGAAGTGCTGTTCATGAAGTGGTATATATATTATAAATTATGGTATATTTATTAAGGAAGACACATTCCGGTAAATCGTAGGCGGTTCATTGAAGTATATATAGAAAATTTAGCCTAGAGATTTGACTCCAAATATCACTCATCTATTTGCCTCTGTAATTTCATATAGTTGTAATACTCGTAGCTGCCTACTAGTAGTTAGTTACAAACATTTCTCTTGATGTGTTGGAAATACTGGACGTTACATTTTCGAAAGATTTAGAAAAATGTTCTGAACGACTGCTGTCTAAATTTCCCTAATTATATTCTATTTGCTAACAGTGTAATTGATTGGTGTCTACCCGTTAGAACCTTATAGCCTGGTGTGGCTGTATTTTGGAAGGCTTCGCAAAAGGAAATAGAATACCAAAACTTTGTCCTTGTCCTTTTGAGACGATTTTTGACGAGGACACAGTGCGAACCATCGTTCATCGTTTGACGTATAACATGCCATATTTGGTCATCGTCGATGCGTCATAGTGATACGTCATTTTGACATCTCGGATAAAAGAAATAAACAGCATCGGTCAAACAAATAAATAAACCAGCTTGTTTTCAATCTGTAACAAGTACTTAATACATTGTACTTGAGATATGACTTAACCCAAAAACGTTATAGGCTAAAGAATGTTTAAATCAGGGTAGTTACACTTTGTTGGAACATGAGACTTCATTTGGCCTTCTGCAATATAAGGGCCATATAATTAGACCTATCGCCTATGCCTATCCTGTAAATTCGGTATTTGCTACATGACGTGTTTCATTTCACTTAGCTCGTTAAAAATGTTGCCACTTTCTGTTCATCGCTTAATATTGTATATATAGCATCAACAACTTACTGCTGTCAAGATACCTAATATCAAATTTCGTAACAAGAGCTCATGCGAAAACTCTATAACCATTCTACAACACGTAACACATTCAGTTCCAGACGTCTCATACTTGTACAAATAGCCTGTCATCGAGTGTTGCAATTCTGTCAAATTGATGCGTGTAGGTCTAAACGTAGATATGCAATAAACCTACTATCCTAGATACTAGTACCAACACCTGTCCTTGGGGGGTGTACTTAGCATTCTGTACGTGACCTCCTGTAGCTAAGCACTGTGTTCGTCATTTCCTATATCACTCGCCCCACGACGCGAGACGGCGTGACGTTACCTACTCGTCAGGGTTCTGATACCCTTGCTACTCTCCAAGCAGAGGTTGATGGAGGGGGGAAGGTCGTTACTTTTTTTATATATGCCGTTTTTCTTTGGTCGCTACACCCCAAAAACGGGTCAAATATAAAAAGGTAACGATCTTCCTCCATCAACCTTTGCTTGGAGAGTGACCCTTGCGGTCCGGTGCGGTCCTGTGGTGCTATCACACGGCACTTGCCCCAGACCGACCCTGCCTGCTGACCCGGTAACTGAGAACATACCGACTCTGCGGAGTATGTGCTGATAGCGCCTTTTATGACGCTGTTGTTGGGGTCATATTGGCAATCTAAAAACAATTTTCTGGCCATATATATATAAGGGGACATGAATACATGATCAGAAATCCGCCGCTTCTCAGTACATATTGGGGACAGTGTCCCTTATCTGACCTAGTCCACTCCTTTTTATGACTTCTTGGAAGGGGGATGTGGTATCGGAGTAGATATACCATGCATGATATAGGTATCATCTGTGTCAGTGGGTATAAAATGACATTTGAACAAGGAGGCTCTTGATGCCAAGGACGGACAAACAGTAGTCGCAATTCTGTCGGGATGGCCCGGCATGTGTGTCTACACAACGTTAAAAATATAAACACACAAGCACCTTGATGACATTTGGACGTTCGGTCACAGCCTAAGTATACATGTATATACTGTTGCTTGCAAACATTCAACCGCCCATCATCACTAATTTGATTGAAGTACTAGGCTTCTACATCTAGACATCTCCTCAGCGCTTGCACCGTCAATTTGATGAATGAACAGATCAACTTGACGTTCTTTTATCTTCCTAGTAGGAATCACTCCTTCTACACCCGGAACTTCACCATCCCCATGGGGCAGATCACGTCCCGCTAGCCGGCAGGGCCGGGACAGAGGGGTGCGGCCGGACTGCTCCTGGACAGCAGACGCACCACCAGGTAGTTTCACCTGCAGTTCCACTGCAGCTCGCTAGGAACTGACTCTCCCGCCACGCTGCAAAGGCGTACAAGTGTGCTGTGTCCTGGCCCGGTGATTGTGTCTCATCGTGTTACCGACAGATGTAGAGGAATGGTCAGTGAATACATGGAAAGGAGGGCCCTCAAACCAACTGACATTTGTAGTGTAGTAGTGCGTCGGCTGGTTTGGGCACCCTCCAATGAGTCCATTCCGTGTATTTACAACACTGTAAAGTAGAGACAACAGAATTCTGCAACAACTCTATCCCGAACTGTAACATCTGTCACCTACGAGAAAAACTACATTGTAAGATCGTCACAGGCACACAACACTTGCCCCTGTCTTTGCCGTAACTTCGCGCCCAGCTAGCTTCAAAGTCAACAGTGTTGACGGAATGTCTACTTAAATGCAGTTATATTTCTAACTGATCAGTAGTTTAACCAGACAACTCGGATGTATGAGATCCAACTTTATTAGAAATCTATTGATATGTGCTCGCTTTATATAATAGCGGTCTTTGTAGGTAAATTTTCACAATGCTCCATAAGCTTACTACAATAGTCAACAAACTAGCCACTCTGAACTTACAAGGATTCTAGTATACCTTTACGGGTTGTGGGAGAATTGACATGGCTGTAAGCTAGAGTGTTTTGAATGCCTTACATAAATCACCATGGAATGGATATCAGTTGCAACATCTAAAGTGAACACATGACAACTACCTGTTATATACCTTCTATTGTCTGTTAGCAGTCCTTCTTGAAAGTTCATTGTGATTAGTTTATTGCCGATTGTAGTAGGTTTATGGAGTATTGTGTTGGAATGTCTATCGCAGCACGTGTAAGAACCACTGTGGTCAGTCTATTGTCCACCGTAGTAAGTCTATTGAGTATTGTGGAACTTTACTTACCAAGTGCTATCTGTATATACTTAGTTGACGTATGCGATATAAGACAGCATGATCTTATTCGGCTATGAAATAATGTTGTAAGGAATGGTATAAAGTATATCTGATTAAACCAAACACTAATACTCTTCAATCACCCATCCAGTCACTGAGTAGCAGCCTTGCTAAACCAGCATTAGTGGCAAGAGAAGAGATGCCTGTAGTAGGCCTCTGTGAACTTGATTCGTGCATAACCACTTCTTTGTTTACGCTCCTATACATATCTGCTGCACTGTTAACATATATACGGCTATGTTTTGCTATAGTACTGTTTTTATAAAGCTGGGTTGCTCTTCTGTTGCGCACGGTTCGAACAGACATTGTGGCATGGTTCAACTGTACTGAATCCGGAAACCCCCGGAGAACCCGACAATGTTGACATGTTTTGCCGTAGCCTGTATATGTGATGTATACTGTGCTGTACTTGTAGGACTGCCAGGATCGTTAGACCTAGAAACGTAGGTCGCCAAGGCTGGATGTTGTGCCTTGTGATCCGGAGTCTGTGTCTAGTGCAGAAGGTTGCACTAGTAGTGAATGTTCTGTCCAACCGTCCACAGGTTCTAGACGTAATGCCCGGTGCTTGTAAGAATGTTTATACAGTGTACAGATTTCTGTAGCAAACTTTAGATGAGCTGTAGTAGTCAAACTTCACACCATTATCCACAACGGAGTTTTTGTTTAGACTGTTTGGTAAGGCTGATATTTGGTTAGCGCACTGACATATGTGTGTAATGCACGGAATGCGGGTCAGTGCTGTACTGCAGCACATCCTGTAACTAGAGATCCTGTGTTTCGTCTTCTAGGTAACAGTTGTATCTATATGTCAATGACTGCAATATGTGTCTCCTCAATGTATCATGTTTAATGTACAGTATGAAATACATTTTTTCACATGTATCCTTCAATAGATTGTTATAATCATAAATGTGTGACTTTTCACGTATGCTTATTTGTTAGTGATATTTGTTGCTTGCATGTGTATTACAAAACAGGTCGGAAAGAAACAAATGATGAACACTAAAATATAAGAAAATGTGTGGGATATTATCGTTAGCACAAAACACCAAAAATCTTTTTAATGTATTATCGTTTGCGGCATTGCCATATAACTTACGGACAGAAACTGTGCTTTTTGCCTACCATTTAATGGAATTGCTTCGAATGATTGTTTGGCGGGAGAAATAAAAGAACTGAAACGACGATACTTTTATTTGTCTGTATTTCTGCTTTCTTAGTGTTTACTAGTAACTGGAGGACGCTAATAAAGTTTAGGGTGATTGTGAAAGGTAGATTGTGCAACTAGCCTATCCGACGATCAGTGGTTCGACTGTTATCTGATTGGGACTACGGCGTGGTTGGGATTTCCTAATTGAAATAATATTATGTCTATTACCGTATATTGGAAGTTGTAGAAAAATAAATAAGTCCGAACAACTGAGATACGATGATGTCACGTTCACTTTATTTTCGATTCCCAAAATTAGATATTCGTGACAGCTATAGAAGCAGACTATCCGTATTTAACAAAAGCTTGAAATTTCCAGAAACGTAACAAAACACAAAAGAAAGAGGGTACGATAAAAAATATCAAGGCTCAGTTATCGCCGCTTTTTCAACGTGTTGTGGCGCCTGGCTCGCTTCAACATACATTACCAATGAATGATGATTACTATTATCACTACAATATAAGTTCACCCTAAGAAGGCGAAAAAGGATTTACTAACACTAAAAAAAGATAAAGTTCAAACTAATGATATATCACATCAGCATGAGAAAGCTCTTTCTCGTTATGTCGTTATGATGGTGTTCTTAGAAGGTAAGGTTTTCGTACCGGCGAAAACATGGTCGACATGCTGTCTTGTCTTAACTCCATAGAACTGATATGCATCTAAGTATTCTTTTAAACAAACCAAGTAAACGAAATTCTTCTAAACATCAGCAAAACGATAGACTAAGCATGACCAATACATTAACCTGATAATATATAAGTATATAAAATTATAGCATAGGTATATTCACAGCCGAGCTCTGACTATATGTGTCCATTTACAACTCCGTCACAAGATGACAAGAGGGAAACAGTCTGGATAGGCTGTCCTGGGACGACAGGCGCCGCCTGGTGGCCGTTCCTACAACTGCAGGCCACTTTGCTTCGGCTAGGATCAGTCCACCTTCGTCACTGGACTCGGTGTCACTTTCGCTGTCGCTTCGGCGGATGTCAGAGTCACTGGATGAGCTTTCGTCGCTGGAGCTGCCGAGCACGCTGGTGTCGTAGTCGTACAGCCGAGAAGTGCTCCGGCTCTGCCCCGCTTTCTTCAGACCACGAACACCGCGGGCAAACCCGTGCGGAACCCTGTGACTGTGGGGACCGTTGGAAGGAAACTTGGACACGGGATGGCCGTTTAGAGAGGTGCTGCTGTGGCTGTGCCGGTTTCTGTGGTCGGCTAGGCCGTTCATCAGCGACGGGTGTGCCGGGCTGTTCACGGCGGTGGTATGACGCCTGGCTCGCTTGTCGCTGTGATGAGTTTTACCATGTCGCACGTACCGACGATTCGAGTCCTCCTTCTTCACACAGCCAGGGTTCTGACTAGCCGACTGCTGTCCACAGTCACTGTGTGGCCGATAGCGTTGACCGTGGGGTACTCCTCCGCGCTCTGGTCTGGTGTTAGGAACACTTGACCTCAAGTCAGTCGCCACACCGCGAGTCACGATTGGTTGTTGGACGTAGCGGGATTCCGTCGGCACTGGGCACTTCTGTCTCCCAGACACGTTCGCTGAAGTTGCTGTCGGCTGGGGTAAAGGCGCGTCTTTGGACATCCTTTTTGCAGATGCCTGTACAGAACATCGTTTTGTAGAGATCTCTGTGCCGTGGGGGGCGTAATGTCCAGGAGGAATCTGTCCTTCTCTGGCCTGATGGGAAGACATCCTGCTAGATTCGTGTTGAAACTGCAGTTTTCTGCAGGGGCTGTGCCGTCCTTCACTCATCAGCTGGTGAGGCTTGTTAGCGGGGGAAGGAGCCGCTGTTCGTTCTCTACGCTCCTTTCTGTTGCCGTTGGGCTCAGATGACAGCTTCGTGCTTCTGACGTGACTGTTCTCGACTTTGTCATTGCAGGACCGGGGCCTTATGTCCACCCCTGCAGGAGCCCTGAACTTCATTCTCACAGTCTTTGCGCTGTTAGAGTCAGGCTGGGGCTGTTCTTTTCGGGGTTGGCTGCTGGACAGAGTTGCTTTCTCGACGTTCGTGGTACTACTGCTCTTGGACTCTTGCTTACGGGGACTGTACTTGCCCACGAGTTTCGTCAGCGGAGACCTGTCCATCTCTTTACTCGGGACAGCAGAAACAGTCAGTCCTTGTACTTTGCCGTCTGCTATCAGCGAAGCCATCAGAAGTGCAGGTCCCGGTTGTGTCGTCTTACTGGTAGGGTTCTCTTGGCTGGTTGTCTGGTTCGAAGACGTCTCCCTAACAGGTGTTTCTTTGACGTTCACGTCGCGAGAGTCTGTTTGTGGTTCTGCTCTTGGCTGAGGTAACGGCGGTGTAACCGCGGGGCTGGCTTTCTTCAGCAGCGATTGTCTCGGAGTAGGTTTTGGTTTTCGCGGGGCTTTTCTCTCCTGAGGGACTTCAGGTCGCGACACGGTTCCTGAAGTAGCAGCGACGGGTTTTACTCCAGAATCCGACGGTGACTCGATGTGGATTTCGCTCGCAGGTCTTGTAGTTGTAGCTTGTGAGATCTGCGGCAAGTCTTCGGGAGTGAGTGTCACATAGTCGCCGTATTCATTATCAAAGTTCGACAGGTTTTCGTAGGTCGGGATGTCGTCTTCAACATGCTTCTTCATGGCGTGTGACCCGGCAAAGGAGTGCCGCCTCGGCGCTATGTCGTTGCCAGGGAGTTCTGAGTAGGCGGAAAAGATGTTCTCATAGTCCGGAATGTCAACGAGCTCTTCAGTTGCAGGCTCACTGTTCTTTGCCCAAGGCGCTGTGTGCGGCACTTGGTCATTCCACGCTCGCGAGATGTCAGGAGGTGTGGAAACTGGTCGAAGGAGTCCCGCGCCTTTCCCGTCAGGGGGCGCTTTGCCGAACCTGTCGTCTGTCTTCCCGGCTTGTGGACCAGACACCACTGCAGGACGAAGTGCAGGTGCTGACTGACTGTGGTCACCTGTCGTTATATCCACAGACGACTGTTCCTCTTCCACCACACTCTCACTGTCTGCCGGAACAAACATGTCGCTCTGTATGGCGATGGCGTGCATGGGGCTGGGGTACGGGTAGCACACAGACAACCCGGACTTGGACCGCGGGCGGAGTGCCAACTTGAACCTTCTGCTCAGCGAATCTTCCTTCTTTTTCTCTTCTCTCGGAGCCTGGCTCGTCACTGGCATCATCCCGCTGAAGTATGACTGTTTCACGTCATTTGACACCACGCTGTCGGATTCTAACTGCCCGACTTCCCCGAAGCTGTGACGCTTGTAGAACTGGTGGTTGGTGACGTCCGGCCACCCCGCGGAGACCCGTCCGTCCACCTCGGCGTAGTGGTGGAGTTTCTCGGGCGTGACGATGTCCGGGGTTAGCGGTGGGGACGGGGACGACGCGTCGAAGAACCCCGAGCTGCGCCGACTGTCGGGCAGGTCGATCAGGGTGCTGGTGCGAGAACTGCGGAGTAACAGCGACATGGTGGCATTAGGTCACAGCTTTGGAAAGTTTAATTGCTTATAAAAAGATATGCTAGCCTTACTTAACTTCAATGTGTTCCTTGTAACGCTGGATAACTAGTTACTACATTGTAATTTTATCAGAACCCAATGGATTGCTGAAAAATTAGAAGAAATTGGCCAATTCAGTGGCTGAATGCGATATGCCAGCGGAATTTGATGGGGACATAGAACTACCCAAACTTTTTAACGATACCAAATTTCACTCAAAATGTACAGTACATCACGTATAATCAAAACTCCTACACACCTGGTGACGCTTGGGATGGAGACTGCAGATGACGACATGGACCGGCAGGAGGCGCTCATCAGCTCGTTCTCCCCGTCCGTCTCCTGTGCCTCCGCCAGCTTCAGCTGCAGGATCTGTGTGTTCAGCGTGTGGAGGGCGCCCACCAGGTCACTGTCCGTACGTTTCAGATGGTCCTGAGAAAATAGAAAGAAAATAGCATATTTAGTTGCGTGTTGGTACATCGATGTACTAGTATTACTATTAGATATGATGACAAAGCATAACGAATGCGTGTCCGTCGCTTGCTTGTCAGCAACTTTTGTTCAGTCTTTGCTCCGCTAGAAAGGCTCCGAAAGGCCAGGACGAAACCACCATAGCAGTGTTGTTAAGGAGGGTGACCATTGTAACTCACTTGAGACTAAATCGTCACACACCAAGTAGATGTCAATGCAGTCATGAGGGTGCTCAGATCATACATTCGTTACCCAAAACTATTTCTCATACACTTTAGCTCTTCTGCTGTCTTGTAGTTTCAGATACATGTCTTGTTTACTCTTGGCATGGCAACTATTGAACAGAATTTCGTCTACAGCGCAACTAAACTTCCAATCGTACTTCAGTAATTTTCTCCATTAAAAAAAAGATAATTAAAAAAAGCGGCAACTCCCGACAAAGCAATACAAACTGTCAGTCGGTGATTTCCCTTCGAAAATATTTGTGCATTTTGTTTGTATTGTTGGCGGATTACAGTCGCACTTTTAAGATTTGCCGAACAAAGTAAATATTTAGACCGGAAAAGGACACCGATACCTCTTAGCACATCTTCGAACTGATTATGCAAGGACAATACCATTTTTTCTTGCTTTAGAATTGGCGGGAGAAAAATACTGCCGAGAGAAATGGAACAGGTACATGGATAAACATTGGCGGACAGACAAGACCCACAAGTGCGCTATACACGGTCAGCAGCTGTAAACCAAACATACGCGGGTCACTGCCAAAGTCAACTCTAGAGACGCGACAGGCGCTCTGATCCTTGTGGTGACTTCGGGAAGATTTATGGCACCGTGAAAGTAAAGGCGATGTCAAAATAATAGAAAATAGTGGCATGTTTGAAAGCAAATGAAAAAGTGTGGGATTGGTCTCAAATATGTTGGATGGTCTAAAAAAAACTCTGTCAGTTCCAGATCTTAAACTTTGTCGAGATCACCAAAAATCGCCAACTGTGGCGTTTTCACAGTATGAGTATGTCAACATTTCTTTATTTACACTGAGTGATTAATTCGGAGGTCTTTGCCGGTTATTTATGATATCGGCTTTCAAAAGGAACTAGAACGTGTAAATCTATGACAGAATCTTTGCAATTCGAGATAACGGAGACGGGCGGGCTACCATGTCTGTTGTTTGTCGCGCCTTGCTCTAAACAATGACGTCATCTCGCCATGACGTAATGGCTATGAAACCCTGCACATTTTCCCATTGCATGTATTTTTCCTGTGTGACTTTTTGTGGGAAGTTTTCCGCTCTCTGTCGGCGTTCATAGAACATAAACAACGGAACGAGCTCTTTCTCCTTTTCTCACCCAAATTGACGCGGTGCCCAGCACGCCTAATGTGTATTAACAGCTGGGGGACACCAGGGTGCGGCCTAACTTCACACTCACACGCGAAGGGTGGTCCCGGATAATTAAGTGTAAACACAAAATTACACACACAACTGCGAACACGCGCACCGCGCGACCGAATGGGACAATAAAATCCCAGCGACGGTCAATTTTATAGCAATTATATGGTGCAAATGGTTACAAAGGCGACACATTGGTAGTACAAGATGTAGCAGCATGGAACACTCCGAGACGCCATAATGGCACCTGTATTCAGTCAATCACTCTAGTACCATAGCTCTCATTACAAAACCCTACGGGCGTCTTTCTTCAAGTCCAACGACACTGTATACTTTCCGAGGTCTGGTAGCTGTTAAGACGGTCCCGTAACAGTTGTTACATTTGTACTGTTGTACAGTGCAAATCCCCTCAAAAGAAATACACTACAGGAATGTTAATACGTACAGCCCCTATATTAGCCGAGACCACACGGACACAAGAAAAGTTGGCGATGTTTCCACTGTGGAATGGTAATGAGATTTTCGCAGGGATTTCTCGCCCTCAGTTGGAACACAAACAATCAAACGTGGCGTGGCCGCTTCGTATGTTTACCGCTACCCGGACACTGGGTTGGGAGAAACTGTCTATTGGTTTGTAAAACAAAGTTTGGGCACAAACGGGTATAGAGAATTGACAGTTCTTTAAATCACATAAAATCGAAAACCCTTACACAACCTGCCAAAAGGAATTATAATTGGATATCATTTACATACCGCAAGTCATTAGATGAAACGGTATAATTTGCCCAACCAAGGGAGTATACCAGAAGACACCAGTTGTTCTACTATCTCATGCTCGCCACTGCTAAGGAACATTCTCCTAAACACTACAGTACCTTTACAACTAGCTTAACCCCAAAGTTTATGTGCATATCCGACTGTTGCATATATTCATGAAACCGGCAGGAAAGCCAGTGATATGCCGAAAAGAAGGATGTAGCAATCATGCATGATCAGTTGACACAAATGTCTCGCTATTGTTCTCCGTGCATTTCAAAGGAACCCATACCTGTGAGAAACGGTGGCAAGACGCCCGGTGCGCGGTCATGTTGCAACATGTTGTATTTCTCAGAGTAACAGAACTTCGCTAAAAACTTGTGTTGTGGCGAGGGGAAGTAACAAGGTTATCCCCCAGATCTTGTTATCAGCCGGCTTTCCTGCAGGCCAGACAAATTCGTTCCGCTGTCTCTGTCTGCCCGGTCGCCAACCTTTTAACTTTATCAACTCCATGCACGGAACACTTTCTAGATTACTCATTAGCTGCCAGATCAAGGACGTGTCCTCTTTTGTTGCACGTCGTGCGGGCTACACGGGAAGGCGAACGGAAAGAGCGTCTGGCACTCAGCGCTGGGTCGTGTTGGTTTTTGCACAACCGAATGCACAAAGTGGACGATGTTTGTGTGACTAATAGGAGTCAAACAAAGCCACGCACTCACAATTCTTGGGGAAATAGTTTAGTGCTGTGTCAAAAAGCTTAGCTTGCACCCTAGCCTATTGTACTCCGTGTAAGTTTGTTAGAAAGAAGAATTACGCAACACAGAAAGCATGCGACGGTAGGATCAGGAAGCTAAAGTTTACGCTTGTGTGGGCCACCCTACCTCTAGGGAGAACGGCTTGTGTCATTAAAAACTGAAACACTGACTTCTCTGCTTTTGCTATGAATACGTAGATAAATAAATGTACTCACCACTGCGTTCCGAAGCTTGTCGATGGAACTGTTGATGCACCCGGCAGGCCTGACCAGCTCTTGGGGAAGTTTTCTCTTGGCTTCCTCCACCAGCGTCTCCTGTCTCTGCCGCAGCAGCCTCAGTTCTTCCATCGCGGCTTCGCTCGCCATAAGCCGGGCTCGTAAACTTCGGTCCTGTCCTCCTAGTACAAGCGTGCTGCCTTCTCCGTCACTTCTCATGCTCTACCTGCACCGTGACTGGAACCAAGCCTCGTCTGCTTCCGTCAGAGCGAAACGGACGTGCAACCTTCCTCCAGGACGTCTCGCGTCGACTGACCGCTCGAGAAGTGACGAGTGCGTGGTATGTGCGCCCCGCAGTCTGACCGGCGCTTTGTTGTTTGATTACCTAATTAGCAATGTTTTCACAACAATCGCCCCCTTTTTAACAATCGTCATGTATTCTCTGAGGAAAGCCAGGGACGGACGGGGGTCAATGGCAACTCCGAGAGCAGAGAAAACATCGGATTGAAAGAACTGTTGCCCACCACAATCAGGCTTGTCTTTTGTCTCGTTTGTTCGGTGTTCTCGGGGGAAATGATGTGTGAAATGGACAAAGCACTGATAAAAACTTTAATTGTTACTGATTCTGAATACTAGTACCCGCGACACGAAAGGAGCGTTGATGAGCCAGGATTGGGGAAGACCAGCGTCACTCTGCACAAGTCGCGACGCTAATCAACACAAATGCCTTACTCAATACAATTTCCCCACTCAACACAAATGCACGCAGTAAACAATAGCGGATGCCTCCAAAGTACACGTCATTTCAAAAGTACGCAGCAAACAGAAGTGCGTGTTTGGGACATTCCATCGAAACAAGTCTCCTGGGGGTTAGCTATATTTTTTCGGATCTGAATGATGTTCATCTGTATTTTCCATGCAACCTATTCCACGCTTTTTAGAAGTGGAATAAAAGTAGTGTATTTGACAAAAATCTAGGACCGAACTTCGAATGTAACAGTCCAAAAAAGAATGCGAAACAGGAAGTTTAATCAGCGCAAAAGGGTTTGACCAAGGATTTTTAACCTCCTTAATGAATCCAATAATGCGACCAGCAGAAACTATTTACTTGAATCACTTCTTTGTTCTTATCGAAGTTGTAGCATGGTAGGAAGGTCGACCACAGACCTACAAGAACATGTTCATAACTGTGTAAAGTTTCCTGAAAACCTTTTGGTGATAAGTGCAAAGGGTGGGTAGTTTCACCACTAGCACGTTCTAATTTTCACCTTTGGACAAGTCTTTGAGTTTGACGTTAGAGTAATCAGTATCAAACAAAGGTTAATATGCAGTTGCTGTTATCATATATTGATATGCATAAATTATGCAAATAAGGTCATAAATACAAACATGCATATTCACCTTTGTAGGAAATGCTAATATCCCTGCAAACTGACTGGTGTTATTTAGCATCTGTGTCCAAAATAATCAGCAAAGACTAACTACTTGCAAACCACAGTATGGCAAATGATAGAAACTTTTAGGGACAGAATGTGTCATTTTAATATGGTACAGAATACAATGTACCCAATAGAACCCATGAAGCTACTATTATCATACTGGTGTGTGATGATATCTTCTCTTCTCTACACTGAGGTGTGCAAAAGATACAAATTTCTTTCTTTATTTTTCCAAGGAGGTTAAAGAAACCAAGGACATTATTATTATCTGTATAATGTCCTTGAAGAGAGCTACCGCCTTCCTTGCGTTATCCAACCATAATTTAATTTAGGTTGGTCAGGTACATACAAGTGTTTACTGCTTGTATAACTCCTAGGAGATTTTATTAACTAATAGATAGAACCTCCTTGATAAAACTATCTTACTATAGCACATTCTGACAGGGTTCACATGTTCAACATCTCTCCCTTCGAAGTTCAACATTTTCTTTCTCCCCCCTCACGAAATTGTTGTACATGTACCAGTATTAAACTATGTAGAAAGAGTTGACATTTGAAATGTCTGTGTTACTAGTAGTATATAATGTCCTTTTGAGTTACAAACAAAAAGGTCTTCCAGTTTCATACCAATCAGACTAAATACCAGACTGGTTGAACCTCTCTCATGCTGGCTTACTTGTAAAGCCATGGAGGTAGAATCTGTCTTTTAACTCCATGGTAAAGCAAAAGCCAACATGAAGGTGTGGACTTACTAACTTAAGTCAGAGTACATGTATTCATACAACAAAAGATCTCTGTACAAGTGAAGGTGTTAAAAAACCCTCTTTATCAGTCAAACATATGAACCAGAATGGTATCATACAGCTGTTTTGGGAATCAAGGAACAGAGGCGACTGAGAAAAGAAAATTCTTTTATCATATCTTTAGATAAACCTACCAAGTAGGGTTTATCATTATTCATAGCCAGATCAGTTTACTACATCTGTATATAAAGTGCATACCCCCCTCCTTGCAATTGTTTTTCTACTTAGGATCAATATGAGAAACAAGATAAACTAGTAGCTGTCTGTTGACTTGTAGTGGTTCTCATCAATTGTGGAGTAAATGTGACCTTCATTACTCAGGAACTCCACAGCACTCCTGGAAATAAAACATGACAGAGTTACTCGCCACACACACTATTGTCTGTGAAAATGTTAAGTTGTCCTACAAAAAATATCTTAAAAAACCACAAGATAAAATATCTTAAAAAATCACAAGATGTTGACTAAAAAATCAGAACATTGTCCTTACCATTTCAATGACATTTAATGTTTAGCTTAGAACACAGACACACACAAGAACAGGTGCCTACCTGACTGCATCCCTGGAGATGCCCCGCAGGCGCTGTTCGATCACCGACACATTGACTCCTGACTCATCCTGGCTACTCTGGATCATTGTCAGAACCTGTGTGAGGAGGGAGGGAGTATTTTAGACATGTGTGGATGTGGCTGCAGTTCCAACTAATCTTGCCAGGTGGCACACATACTCATGAAGTGCAATGAATTCATCATGTTTAGCAGTTGGTATGTTTATAGGCTATTTCTGTGCCTCATGATTGGAAGATGGAACCACTTGTCTGGTGTTGGACATGCTTTGATGTGGCTGCGGTTCCAACCGATCATGCCAGGTGGCACACATGAAGTCTAATGAATTTATCACGCACAGCAGTTGGTATGGTAATATAAGCTACTTCTCTGCCTCACACTTGGAAAATGAAACCACTTGCCTGGTTCTGGATGTTGTTGAGGCCCAGGTCGTTGACCCCACCCTGCTGACCCATCATGGGTCTCCCACCTGTGTTCTGCCTCTGCCCTCCCATCCCAGCAGACATACCTCCAGTGGATTGCTGCAGAATCGGAACATAAAAGACAAGTGTGATATTGTATCTGTATCTGTATAGCCGGTATGACCGCCTTTCGGCGTAACACACCAGCTTCGCAGGCACGCGGCGCGGCGGCAGCTGGCTATATTACACCGATCGACTTGTTACACCTAACCCTTGAACTTCTAGCTCTAGACATTGTTTAAAGCTATCTATTGACAATGCCCCTACTGTACTTGGTGACAGTGAGTTCCACTCTGCGATAGTTCTAGGAAAGAATGAATTCTTGAACACCTCAATCCTTGGTTGATAACTCTGGTACTTGAATGCGTGGCTATTTCTTGTTCTCTTCTGGGCTGGTATTAGGTACTTAGTAGTTGGGACATCCACCAGTTTATTAGTCATTTTGTACATCATGCATAGTCTAGACATCTTTCTTCTGTCTTCCAGTGAGGTCCATTGTATGCTACACAGCAGTCATTGTACACTACAACTGAAGAATGACTCATGTAGGCAGGTAAAGCTGAGATTAGGACACAACAAATTTCATGTATTCTCTGAAAGAAATTGTTTCCAACTGCTATACTACAGTCTTTTATACTCTATTTGGTATTGTCTCTAAAAACTTCTAAAAATCACATTTCAAAATCTTCTTTTCTTTCGGTCTTTGTACACATACACAGAAAAAGCAAAAACACAAACCTTCACTTATGTACAAATACATTGTATATGTTAATATGATTTCAATGCCTAAATGATGGTACCTTGATTGCAAAGCATTCCTCTGCTACAAATACAAGAAACTTTACACATTCTACGTCTACACCCTTTTAGTACACCTGCCATACTCACCGAGCCCTTTTCTAACATCATATGTGCCTGCACCACCTCCAGTATGTGCATGGTCAGTTCATTATAGTCTGTAACTGGCATGATCTTGAAGGCCACCAGACTCTTCTTGCCCTGGAATGACCTCAGGTGACCCACGGCTCGGATGTAACTGTTGACTGGCCAGAGTTGGTCTTGTTCCTCATCTGGAATGTTATCCTGTAATGTACAAGCGGATCTGGTTTAGATATCCAACTATTTACGTACATAGCATTACTCCACTGGTAAAAAAAACATAGCACTAACTACTGACTATGAAGAGATCTTATGCTTTCCTCCAATAATGAACTTGTAAGACAGAAAAGGGTAACAGTATGTAGACAACTTTTTGGGTGACAAGAGAAGATCCAACATGCAGAAGCTGTAAGGAATGTGCATCGTTGGTAGTTGTATCAACCTTTACACAACTGGCCTTTGCTTTTTGTTCATCTATATGTTCACGGAAGACATGTACACTGCTGGCATTCTTCTGAACAACCAAACTAGACACTTCTACTCACATCATTGTCGAGCCACTGCCTGACGTCCATGGGAGGACCCGTCATGTCGTCTATCTTGTACAGGATGTTGGTGGGAGCTCGGGTGGCAGTACGGACTACCCCCACTATGGTCACCTGTGGGTTCCATACAATAACACCATCAATACACGCTGTTGTAAACTTTGACATATGATATGCATGAACAATCTAGTAGACATGGTATTTATGGAAAAATAATCAAGTACTTTACGAATGTGGGGATAGGTAGTCCTGGTTACGTTCGTTTCTTCCAATTCCAACAAAGTTTGAGAAGAGAAACTGTTGGTATCCTATGTATCTGACTAACTGCTCCACTGGTTATAAGGAAATCGATTGAAGTATTGTACCAATATGCATGTAAAGGAAAAGTGTAATGATAGTTTAGTCAAATGCAGTACTAGTATGACCCTTGAGTTCAGGAATCAATCAGGACATTACATGTTCACTGCTGCTAAACAAATTCACCTGTTATAACTAATTTCTGATGCACAAAATTTTGTTTGTCTGGTGCAACAATGTCACAAACCACCGAGTACTAGTAAATCTCAGCTGATTCCTGTTACCTGATTGATGTCAGTCTCCCCCAGTCTGAAGGAGTCGTCCATGTGCTGGGCTTGTAGCAGGTGTGAAACTGTACACGGCAACAGGTTCTGGGCTCTCCTCTGGAGTCAATGATAACAATTATGAGTGGGAACAATTTCTATAATAATGAGCCGTCTCACTTCACTTGTGCTCCAGCAATGGAAAGAGTATTTTGGATGACAGACTAAGTATTGATCTACTTATTCTTCAGGGGTAACTTCTCTCCTGAGTGAAAGTCCCTAAATAATGTAAGTCATTATGCCAAAGCAGTTACTGAAGCAACTGGACATGATTTTGGAAAATCATACCACAGAGTAACTGCTTTTTGGTGTATCCTATTACCTGGATGTCTAACCTTCACTGACATAACATAAGTCATTACAAGTATCTCTAGTGAAAATAAAACAACTGCAAACATTCCAAGATCTCCAGTATTACATAACAACAAGAACACCCTTGTCTCACCGAGCCCCCCCTTCTCTCCTGCGAGGACTGTGCAGGGGAATCAAAGCCTCCTTGGTTCGGTCCAGGTGAGTTCAGGTAGCCTCCCTGGTTACCAAATCCACCATCTCCAAAACCACCTGCACAGACACAATAGTAATAGTAATTATATAAAAAATCATCTTTTCATTACCAATCTGTATGGTCACAACTTATGTAGATGTGTCCTGGGAGACTTTTCAAATCAATGACGCTTGTGGTCTTAATCAAACGTCAAAATAATTTACATACATAAGGTTAGGCCTAAAGCCAAGAAAACTGCAGAAATCAAGGCATTTGTCCAAATGGCAGAACAAGTTGCAAAGAAACATTATCATTGGGCCATAACGTTACATATCTACAAATGACGTGACGTTATAGTACAACGTGTCTGAGCATGTTGCACAAAGCTCCAAATCCAAGTCCGACGAACGTGACAGACCCCCCTCCCCCTTAACAAAGAATATGGAAAATCGCCAAACGTTAGGTTTTCAAAGCAACAGACAGACTTGTGACAGTAAGCTGAGGTACTCACCACCTCCTTGTGTCCACATCACTGCAGGAATGTCAGTTAGCGCTGAAGTTGAATCGACAAGCGAACGCCAAGGCACAGTTTCAGCTTCTTGCTCGGATTTTTTTCCCGCGGAAACTACAAAGATGGCGGGAAGAATTTCAACCAATGAGAAGCACAGTTACGTTGCGGGCTAAAAAGTCGTCCAATCAGCGAAGGCCTTAGTTAGGCAGACTGACGGTCTCACACCAGTTAGGTCTCTCACTGAAGTTGTAACACAAGGCTGCACGAACTCAGCTCAGGGAAAGAACGGGGGAGTAGAATTAAAGTAAAACACGGAATTATACAAGTGCTTTAAGTTTAAAGGAATGGCATTGTTTTGTTCTTCTATCATCAAGGTAATGTTATGTCATGTTTGATACCTGTCAGTGTGCATATGATGTTCACATGGGATTTGATGAGATTTGATTGATATCTATTATTACTAGTAGTATCACATTAAAGCTCCTTGGTTAATATGTTGTTCTAATGTTAACTTATATGTATTGAGAAGCAAGTTTTAGAGTATTGTTTAGCCTACATATCCTTGTACAGTAGGGCTGCGTACCTAAACGTAACATCAGGTACAGGTACAGGTACTGGTACAGAGGTTTAGGTACAGGTCCGGACCTGTACCTGTACCTGAACAATTTGACAAATTAACACGTGTTCTTCACTTTTTCAATCATGACACAGAAACAATAATAAAGTGTTGGAGGGAAGGGAAAATGACTGACCTCTGACCTGATTTGAGTTTGTTGACCAATCACAACCCTGGATCAGCCACACTCTCGCGATGTCTCGTGAGACTGAGGATCTCAAATCAATCGACGGTGTTTACGTCTTTTCCAGTGCTAATTTTTCGTCTTTGTGGTAGGATTTACCTATCTTTAGTCATATACATGGTGTAAACTAGCTATTTCGGTATATACTCGTTACTTCATGATCCAGTATTTTGGACCTGTACCGAAACGATTTTTACGGTATTGGACCGGTACAGTGTACCGGTCCGCAGCCCTATTGTACAGCACTTCAAACCATTTCATACATGGATCATCTTTTCTTCACAGAGGGTAGTGGTGCCCAAACTGACCAGGAAGTTAGTAGGATGCCATCTGCATACCTGTGCCTCCAGACATGCAGCAGCTCCACCTGATGATGGGAGCCACTTGTGGTTGTCCAGCTTTGGAGGTGGGGCTGTGGACCTGACTAAAGACGACGTGTCAGGCCTGGCTGTCCTCACTCTCAACAATCCAGAACGCCTCAATGCCGTTACAGGTTAGGTCTAGCCTCCTTCGCAGACTTCTGAGTCGGCAACGTTAATCTTTTAGGGTATGTATTGGAGGGACGGTTTTGCTGCCAAGGGACTTTGACAGGGAGAGATGGTTTTGCCACCTACTAGTATATAAATTGTCTCTGCACAGCAAAGTCCCTTGGCGACATAACTCGCGTCGCTCCCCCCAAAAAATTAACATTGCCCCCTCAGAAGTATGCGAGAGAAGCTAGGTTAGGTCATACTGACATGGTTTTAAAGATGACATTCTTATGTGCAGTGATGATGATTACTTATGATCTGTCATCAGGGCAAGAAACATGCTCATATTGTTTATTTACATGTTCTTGTTTCAGGTAACATGATGCTCCAACTGGCTGACATCGTCAATGACCTGAAGGAATGGAAGGGGGGAAAAGCCCTGATTGTCCATGGGAAGGGACATACTTTCTGTACTGGTGCTGACCTAAACATGGTACGCAACATGCTAGACAGCAAGCATGGCCGAGAAATGTGTGCCTTCATGCACAAAACACTGACTGAGCTTCACCGACTTCCTCTCATCAGTGTTACAGCTATAGACGGACCAGCTATAGGAGGGGGTGCAGAACTTTGCACAGCCACTGACTTCAGGGTAATGACAGAACAGGCTCACATAAGGTTTGTTCAGGCCCTACTGGGCATTGTTCCGGGATGGGGGGGTGGCACCAGGCTGACCAGACTTGTTGGCCGAACCAGGGCTCTAGATCTACTGTCATCTGGAAGGGCAATCAGTCCAGAGGAGGCAGTGGAGATGGGACTTGCCAACTGGATGATTCCAACAGGACACGATGTCGTAGAAGCAACGACGGATTGGGTCCAGAAGTACACGAAAGGGAAACCAGAAGTGGTGAGGGCAGTGAAGAACGTGGTGGTGGCTGGGGCTGAGATGTCCTTGGAAGAATCTCTGGCAGAGGAAGCAGAACAGTTTGTGAACGTTTGGGGTGGCCCAGCTCATCAGGAGGCTATGTTGAGAAATGCGAGACACAAAAAATAATCCGGAGATCCAGAAAATAAAATAAAAACAACTACTATCAATATTTGTTCTATTACATAGACTTGGTGGAGGATTAGGCCTGTTCACTAGAATTGGGGCCCCTACAGTCTATACATGTAAACTCAGGGACCAGTAGTGATTTTACCCTATGGAGGAAGACAGGTATTTCCATAACATGTTGCATGAAAAATATGTATACCCAATGTATGGGGGATTTTATCGTTACTCCATTATCAATAATAAGTTATAAAATTACGGTTTTATTTCATGCAAGTTTCTTTGCTAGTCAAATGGGTGTTGGTTTTCCTCAGAAGTTTTATGAGACAGAATTTTAAACCTTTGAATCTTGACATATGAGTAACATGATATCACTAGTTGTCTTCTGGATCACATGAAAAAGATCATCTTTAGGAAAAATAAAGACATGCTAGACGTACTACAATGACCGAAAAGAAAGCCATTCATGAGCATTTGTTGCACATATATTGGTTGATATCACCACTTCCTGGAGGACACTTGTGCTACTGGAATGCCTCCTAGCAAAAGAAGTAAGAACTGCAGGGTATGAGATCGATATCGTTTGGAGTTAGGCATCCAGTTTTATCAAGGCTCCTATGTTCGATTTGGCTTTAGAGGTGTGCATACTTAAACTTTGTCACTTATAATCAAGCAATTTAAATCAAATCTAATCAAATACGATTTCATAACAGTTGTAGATGGCACAACATAGAGCGAACGCTGCATTGCATCAATGAGGTTTAAGATCAGATGCATCAAAGACGTTTAAAACCTTGATTGAACAAAAAGTCTAAAAGCTACACCACTCCATTTAGGACACAAAAGGTACTCTACTGTATAAACGTAACGACACCCTATCAAAATGAAATGGAGTCTACATTAATGTTGACAGTTTTGAATGTAGGGCACGTCCTTGTGGTGACCCCTGCCCCTGAACATGACACAGTACTCCAGTCCCTCGAGATGCACTGCACCGCAGAACAAAGCCTTCCCGGCGTGCAGCTGTGGCCTTGAAGTGGAGGGGGCGTGATATTGCCTCTCCTTCAAGGGTGTCGGAGCCGGGATAACACGGTAAGTACTGACAGGGGAGCGGCCAAGCGTCAAGATCGGGACGGCGGGCTGGTCATGTACAGGCGCACCCGGTCTGGTAACCGGTAAGGGTTCCGTCTCATATCCCCACACCTTTCGTATGACGCAATGGGTTATGGTGAGGCTTGTACAAAGTTGTATAGATTTCCCTCTGAGCAAACTGTCGCCGTTGATTGTTTGTCAGACGTCAGTGCCCCTATTTAGGCTATTACCACACTATTTGTCACTTACTGAAACGTTATGTGACCCGCAGGAGAAACGAAGGTACGAAAGCGACCTTAGCACAACAGGCTCGCCCATTATGTCCAATTATCAAGCGGAAACGTTCACGGTAATTACCTGGCCTTTTGAGCGAGAGAAAAGGGAAGTCAACGGTCAGAGGAATCGAGGAGAAATCTGTGCAAAACATCACAGGAGGGAGTCGCCGAGAAGGGAACAGAGAGGCCTCGCCTGAGATTTTGAAGAGATTTTTGACAAAAAATCGTTTTGAAGTGGGGACCACACATAACGGCGTAACAAAAGCAGGAACCGGTGGACAACACGGCTAGGTGTTGTGTTACCTTCACGCCCCTCGACGTCCTGAATCGGATACTTGTTTTACTGGAGAACTTCCTTTAGAACAGACTAATGTATTTTCCCAACTTTCAGATACATATAATTGTGCTTCTAGTTACCAGTGTTATGGTTAATTCGTAGCTAGGATTGAAAAGGATTAGAGTTTACACGGGTTTTGCGACCTGTATCGTACCCATAACAAACGTCATTGAATCAGTGCCCCGTTCAAGACCTATAATATACAACCATCCAAGGAGGTTAAACCTATATCCAAATACCATGACTCGTGTCGATGACATAGAGGAAGAGAGTATTTGCGGTTTAGAAGTCGATTTTCTCCACTTCGAAGTGCCCAAACCTTTGCAAAGAATATACCCTAAACACTACACATGCTGGAACTTGGAAGTAACATACGTTGAAAAAGACGTCTGTTCAGTTCTCCCTCTTCGAAGCTAGCAAATCTATACCATATGCCATAGTCTGAAAAATCAAAATTCCTACTTCTGACGAGAGGAATATTTCCGCTCTTTTTACAAAGATTAAAGACATTTGACAACGTCATAACTTATATCTATACGTATCATTCTCAAAGATGTCATGAGGCATTACTTTTATTCGGTCCGATTGCTACCCGCTGAGTAGTGCATCAAGGCTTCTTTTCTACAAGGAACTCCTACAGAAGCCCTTTCTGAAATAAACATTCAAGTTTGATTGTTGCTCTGCCAAAATTGTGTTTTTAGTAAACGATGGCTTTGTACTATGTTTTTGTTGCCAGAGGGAAGGCTGAAGTTTGTGGGCGTACAGCGCCTTCTGGCATGCACCAGACATCAGATAACCGTGTCACAAACAGGCCAGGCTCTAACTATACCGTACAGAAAGGCCTGCTGACAGAGTGTCTCTGACATCACGTAATAACAGTGAGAGGGCGATGGGGGAAGGATCCACCGCGAGGAAAAGAAGGGGACTTTTTTTCACTTTTATTAAGTCTTAAATGTCGCTGCATAAATATACAATCATGCCCCATCACAAGCCTTGCTTTCTTCGTCCGAGCATTTGGAATGGTCCGGACAGGGCCTAACAATGTGTGCAGAAGCCCATCGCTCAACTGAGTTTGGATAAATGTTTACAGGGGAGACTGAGCAGATGGTAGTTGCCGCCTCTCCTGTACTCAGTCACCAGGGCGGCGCGGTGACCAGTCCGTAACAAACACTGTAAACCAGGCTGGTCCGACTTCCGAGCCAGTCCGGCTTCGTTAATCAGCCGACTGTGATTTTTGTTCTCTAATCTGTTTAGTTCCGCAGGTCGCCGGTTGCAGGGAAGGCAAACATCCTGTTTGACCCGAGACACGCCAGATTCTCTCCTGACGAGTCGTCGCTGTGAAGTTTGTGGTCCATCACAAGTCGCGGTATCACCCCGGGAACGATAAGGGACAATGAGGACTATGACCTGGCCCGGACTCTGTGTCGTTTTACTGGTCACCTTTGTGCACGTGGAGAGCCAACAGCAACCCAACCTGGTCTTCCGAGAACCTCCGAGGGCCGTGACGGGAACTTCTTATTGCTCGCTTCTGAACTGCTGCAGAGGTAGATCGGACTCGTGTTCCCTTCCCTACTTCGACACGATCTGCTACTGTGATGAGTTTTGCAACCGCACGTCTGCGTCGGACTGTTGCCCGGACTACCGGCCGGTGTGCCTGGGCCTCCCCCCGCCGAACGAGCCGACGCCACTGCCCCAACCTCCCGAGACAGGTAAGCTATTGTAGCGGCCAAGGCACGTTTACTTAACAAATACTGTCGGCTCCGAAGTTGTGTATCTACTCCATATCCCCGCACAATGGGTCTACCACAGAACCCGTTGTTACGCGGCATAGCTGCCACTTTATCGTTCATTCTGCGATAAATCTCTTGCGGCTTGTATCGGAGACCCGCGAACTGTGTTTGCACTGAGCAAAGACTGTGCAGAGGCCATGTTACTTTACTTAACCGACGTCTGACGACATTTTTGTCAGCATTCTTATCAGCAATAAGTTTCCTCCAGACTAGACTATCTATATGAAAACATTGTCGGCGGAAAACGCAAATGTGCAAGCTGTATTTACTCGGAAACAGGCTTAACGGTGTTTCGAGACAAGTTCCTTTCATCTCTCTGCTATTGGCATTTCCACAATAATTCTGCTCACGGATTACTCCCGAGAATCGCCCGACTGTTTGAGAGACGTTCTAAGATGTCAGCTGCGACCTCATAAGTTGAAGGTACTGCTACTTAGCTCAAGCCCCAAAACAGACAATATTCGTCCCATGTTTGAACAGCTTATCTTATGCACACAAAGTACGGCTTCCCTTGGTGAGGGGAACGCTCCACATCAAACAGCGCCCATGTTTTGCTGAAAATAATTATAAACGATGTGCGCTGTGTGCATTCCTGGATTGGGGCACTTAATCACCCTTTTGATGTAGGATCGAGGAGCAATATTTGAAGAACATGTTAAAAATGTAAACTGAAAGGACCTGAAAGACATTCGGCTAACTAGATAGACGACGTGTCTGTAGCGAAGGTACTTAAGTGTGGCGCATTGTTAAGATATCTTGACAAGATACAAGATGACAAATGATGTAGGAGAGGTTCAGATGACTGAGAAGATCTCCTTGACAACCATCCCGGACTCACAGTTGGCGGGAAAACATTCCACCTCCCCGGGGACACGTCCGAAAGAAAAACGTCTGAATCTTTGAAGATCTATTTTGCTAGCTTTTGTCCGGGCGCGCCAGTGCTGGAGCCAATATGGCATGGCACGTGAGCATGGACCAACCCACAAGAATCTCTGAGCCCATCGATCAACATGACAGAGTCCTCTACCTATTCATCTACATGTACGTCTGTGCTCTAGTTTAACGTTAGATGAAATAGGTATACGTGTACATCAGAGATCATCAGAGACTGGGCAGGCATTTTTAGGAAAATTTCTAAAATCCCATAATACTATTAGCCAAGCAAAGCAGACCGCCCAGTTTGTGTATACGAAATACGATGACACGGCAACTTAAAACGATATGTTTTGGGACAACTTGTGTTCCAAACGCGCCATTCAAAACTTACTGGGCTCCATTGTATGGCTTTTTCCCCTTTGTTAACTTTGAACTTATTACGCAATACTATCCGGTAAGAAGATGTGACTAAAAGTATTTATCAAAAAGCTTAAGATAAGTGCCTTGTATATTTTTGTAGACAGAGTCGATGGCGAGTGATCAAATGGAATCAGAAAGACAAACGCGAACGGTGTTCTCTCACCCGTAAGTGAAGGTGTAAAGTCGTGTAAATAGCAGTAATGAATACGGTAATGAGCGTTTGTACGGCACGATCTGTCACGGGACACTGTTCCCTGGGTAGGGGTGCTGTTCAGATGCTGTCAACAAGAATGGGCGTTGTTTGAGCACTGTCAGCCGATTATTTACTCCCACAGTGTTCATTTTCCTCAGCCACCACCGTCAGTAAACTCCACCACCCACACTCAGAGATGCTATTTGCATTTTCGTTTAGCATCACGACTATTCACAGAGCAGTCATGTTAAAGCTTCCAGACAGGTGTAGAAATTTTCAGACTATTTTAGACAGTCTGACGAGTTCAGCTTTCTTATTTGAAATAAGCCGATCGGCTTACATGGGAGGATTAGATGGTAAGAAGTTCCGAAAATGTCAATATCTTCCCCCCTAGCATCTGCTTGAATATCAAGGTCCGTACAAAACAGGGGAATCAGAGTAAGAGTCTTCAAAAGCAAAGAAACCTCTTAGTAAGAAGTTTCCTTAATTTGAAGGCATTCTATAATGACAGCTCAGATAAGACTTTGTATTGCAATAACAACTTATCCCTATCACGGCATACGCTGGCATTACTGTTGTATCCTTTTAGTTACCAATGGCTTGTATCGCCTAATGATAAAATCGGCTTTGTCGAGAAAAGCAAGGCAGTGTGGGATAAAGCACGTATCATCAGTTTGCACAGTCTCTGTTGTCCCTGAGAAAGATCCATGTGCAGACGTCACGACTGTGTTTCCAACAGAAGTAACCTGAGATTTCTTAACGTGAGGTCCTTGCCAGGTGTTCTTATCTTCAGTTAAAGATAGAACCGACCTTGAACTAAAAAAAACTCCAAGCAACTGATAATTCGTCAGTCGTCAGGAGTGCATTTTCAACGCACGTAATCTCGTGTGGTTCATGTTTCCACACTAACTGTCTCAGAGTGTCGATCCATATTCCATCTGACAGTTAAACTGTCGTGTAAATATGCTGGTTACATATTGAACCTCGGCCATTTTACTCATCTTTGTTACGAAACATTGTAACACATGACTTCAAGCAAAGTAAGCGGCAATATACACTTCTTTACACACCAATAACATGGATTATTTGCTTTTACTTATTACAAGCATCCTAGCGATGCATTGCGTATTTATATAAGGGTAAAAGTAACGACTGGGTGGCAAGGCTGAAGTTTTTATGCGAGTGAATAAAGCCAACCCAAACAACCAGACTATCATTTACCCGCCAGAGAGGTTACAAGGCGCTAAGTGCAGGTTAGCCACGAGGACAGCGTGTGTTTATACCACATAGTTTGTGTTTTGCGCCGTAGAGCTAACATTGTCAAGGTTAGAACCTTCTGCGGTTGGCAAGGTCAGGGTCCAACAACAGCTGGGCACAGAAGTTGTTCCACTCCTCAGGTTTGTTGTGACAAGTGGGGGAGGGGAGGGCATGCACAAGTTCACGTTACAGGTGCACGGGAACGGCCCCCGCAGGGAGTTCCCACCCACGGCACGCGGGGTGTCCGTGTCACCTGAACTGATGACATCCCAGATAAGCCACATACAGAAGAAGACATGCTTTCAAACTACATCAAGATAAGACTGATGGCAAACAAGTTCACGACTTGGCTGCCGTTAATTAAAAGAGAGAACACAATCCCTGTCAGCTTTGAAGACACAGGACAGCTTGTGTCTCAGCTCAACCTTATATCATGAATTTTTTTTCACCATTTCAGATGGCTGCTTCCATGACGGGACGTACCATCCAGGCGGGGCCACGGTCAGGATCAACTGCAACCAATGGTAACGTTACGTGTTCTAGTTAGTCCATCAGTATGGCTGTGGCTATTGTTGTCGTTCTCGTGTCGCCCGAAAGGCCAGATGAACTCGCTAATGTTTCAAACTATTTAAAATATTGTGTGTGCACTTCCCGTGCACTTCAATTTGTTATGAACATATACGGTATGGTACAGAAGCTTAAGGTTGGTTTTACATATTTTTGCTACTTTAGAATTAGGACGTCTGCTTCAAAAGATATGGCAGTTTTCAAAAGATATGGCGACGTCGACTGGTGAACTATGGTTGTCGGATGTAGCAATTAATATCTACTTTGTCATTCCCCATTCAAGTTGTCAAATAGGGACTGAAGATTCTCGCCATCATCAGTCATTGTAAGTCCGCCGAACCGGAAAGGAAACATTGTGAATTCAGATTGACGTGTTAGTGTGCTGCCGACTTTGCTGTTGTGTGGTTTGTTAGAGCGTACGGAATGTATGAGGAATGTAAAGACTAGGAAAACCCTAGCGGTGAGCGCACACACGGAGTCGGGCAGGAGGCAAGGCCTAGTCTGGCGTCAGCCGGGGTGAAGTCAGACAGCTGGGACTGGTCAACAAACCTGGGCTGCCGGGTTTGTTCGTCTGATGTATGTTGAATTTGTCTGTAAACTGAAGAATATTTCCTGTAGGAACTGACACGGACAGACGTCAGACAAAAGGGCGCGAACAGGGAAACTCTGCGGTTCAATGAGACATGAGAGGAGACCCGAACCCTGACAAGGCTGTAGTGTTACAGAAAATGTTAACAGTCGACAAGTTCGACAAGTAACTGTGGCAGAAAAGACAACAACGCGGGCTTTTAAACGCCTGTCTTGTTCTTGTGTAGAGATTTGGTATCAAGCCAAGTGTTGTATTAAAAGGAAATACATTTTGTGCGGTGAAACGTTAACTTGGCATGCCATGTATCAAATTGAGCGACTAAATTCAGATTGGAGTAAATCAAACAAAAAAGAAATGGTGCAACCGGACGACTATTTGATACTATGATATAACGCCAGGGAAAGAAATAGGTGAAGCTAGAAGTACTCACAGTATTCACAATTTGAATAGTTTTCTTGTGTTAAACCTTTTAGACAAAGTCAATATCGTCTTGCTGGATCAGTATTTCTGCTGTGCCATCCATGTGCCCTGTCGTGTGTCCTTTGTTCCCATGTCACAAACACTGTAAGATCCGCAATAGGGGGCTTATCTGTTCCGAGCTCGCCAAACAATACTAGTCGTCTCATATAGTCATACGAGACCGAAAACATTTGGCGGAAACGCAGCAGATCTGTTATACGGGCGGAAAGCGGCTCAGTCCCGAGCCCCGTGTTCCTAATCTCCAAGCAGATGCGATGGGGCAATGGGACTTCGTGTCGGCGGCCTGTATCCATTTGCCGCCTGTATTCAACGTTCGCCCCACGTATCACGTTCTGCGGCAGATTCGTTGGATACAGGTGGCAAATGGATACAGGCGGCCAACATGAAGTCCCCTCATTGCCCCATCGAATCTGCTTGGAGATTACCGTTTTCCCCGGTCACCGCTAACCCGCTCCCCGCATGTCTCCCCCAGCGTGTGCCAGCCCACCCAGACGGGATCGTACGAGTTCCGCTGCCAGGAGAACCCCTGTCTGCTCAGGCCAACCATGCTAGAGGCCATCAACCAGGGAGACTACGGGTAGGTCCCCTTCCCTCTACAGGTCAGGAGTCTGGTGTCTATCCTAGTCTACCTCCAGTCCGCTCCTCTGATCACCTCCTGAAACTAGGAGAGGATGGACACCAGGCTAACACGTCCGAACAGCGATCGTCCTTTACCTCATTTTAAACGCCTGCATTTGTAAACAGTTAGACCATATGGAGGCCGAAAAGTCCCTTGGAGTGTGGACGTGTGATTGAGAGTTGCCAGTCCTGCAGGTGCACAGAGAGGTTTACACACGTGACAGGGATACCCTGTTGTCGCTACCCGCCTCCCTGTAGACAAGGCTCCTAGTCAAAGTGCATTAGATTATAATCTTGCCAGAGATCAAGGACCAAAGTCAAGGATCTGAACTTAATCTGTCGCTAATCTACACATTTTAAGACCCTTTGCTTGTGATCATGAGACAGGTATTGTATATCACTACCATTTGTCGTTTAAGATGCCTGTCGGCTGGGCGGTATGGTATATCGTACATGTAATAGAGACCATACTCGCCATGAAGTATTAACTTTTTAACGTGGCATTAACTGTCTACAGATGGCAGGCGGAGGCCTACCCGTTCCTGTACGGTCTGACCCTTGACCAGGGCCTGCAGTACAAGTTGGGGACGGACCCCGTGCCGGAGAGCGTCCATGCCATGAGGGGCATCCAGGTAGGAAAGGTCATGGTGTCTGTTGTTCTCAAAGTCGCATGTGGATGGATTATTGAGGATAAGCGTTGTACGATCGGAGAATAGCAATCAATATATCCCCAAATATATCGAAACTACTATTTTGGACATATAGTTTTCATGTCTATATCCATTTTACCTATTAATCGAGGTGACATAAATACTTTAAAGGCAAGGAATTGTAATTCTAATGAATGACAGGCTTTCTATAATTTAGAAGTACGTCGTTTGATCTGTCGGTCATTATCCTGCAAAGCTCATATTTCTACCGTGGTTCCTCAGGTCAGTATCAGGGACAACATTCCGGAGTTTTTTGACGCCCGTAGCCGCTGGCCTGGTCTTATCCAGGACGTGCGGGACCAGGGGAACTGTGGGGCATCCTGGGCGTTCTCCACCACAGGTACAACCCAACACCCCTGTCTCACAACTATTCTACCAACCGACTTTCAAGCAATCATGTGGTCTTAGAGACATTTGGATACATTGTCTCATGGCAATGTTTTTGCATGGCGCAATCGGTCTCAATACGACATGGTCTCATAAACCTCCAACCTCCTCACAACGTAAAAAAACTATCACGACACTCTTTTCTCTGTCTTACTTCGGTCATTTCACCTTATACCTCATAGACTACGATGTGACTCCAGTTTATTATTATAATTACTAGCTACATTGTTGATTAAAAATCACATTTTCCACCCAGCCGTGCTCGCTGACCGTCTCGCCATCCAGTCCCGCGGCACGATGACGGCGACCCTGTCACCGCAGAACCTGCTGTCCTGTAACACCAACAGACAGCGGGGCTGCCAGGGAGGCAGGCTGGACAGGGCCTGGTGGTTCCTCAGGAAAAAGGGGTAGGTGGTTGATTTTACGGAGAGGTGCCTGTGTGGATGTTTAACACCATGGGCAGGTGTGTTTGCCTGTGTGTGGATGACGGGGAAGGGACAGCTCTGTAGCTGTATGCTTGTATGGATGGTGTTCAGTACCAAGGACAGGTGTGTTTATGTGTGGATGGTGTTCAGCACCAAGGACAGGTGTGTTTGTGTGTGGATGGTGTTCAGTACCAAGGACAGGTGTGTTTGTGTGTGGATGGTGTTCAGCACCAAGGACAGGTTTTTTGCCTGCGTGTGCCAGTGTGGATGGCGTTCAGTACCGAGGACAGTTGTGCTTGTCTGTGTGTTGAAGTGTTCAGCACCAAGCAAGGGCAGGCCTTTTGTCTGTGCGTGGATGGTGTTCAGTACCAAGGACAGGTGTGTTTATGTGTGGATGGTGTTCAGCACCAAGGACAGGTATGTTTGTCTGTGTGGGGATGGTGCATCAATGGTATAATCACTTGTATGCGTCTGGAAAGAGGTCTACAAGTTCAGTAAAGTACTTAAAACCCGTAGCCTCCACATTTCAATTTGTGTTGCTATGTTGCTATGATGTTCCAGGGTCACCACCGATGCCTGCTACCCGTACAGTAGCGGTAGCTCGGCCCAGGCCGGCCAGTGCGCCGTGCCCAGGTCTAACGGAAGACCCTACCCGTGCCCCAGTAACAACGGCGACACAACCATGAAATACCAGTCTTCACCAGCATATAAAATCTCAAACAGAGTAAGGCATAGTTCAACATTTATTCTTAGTCAGTAACTTATATATCCACTTCTTCACCGGTGAAATCACCTCTTGACCGGGCTTGGTGTTTCTTCTCCGATTTAAACGATCGAAGCCACATTATCGCATCTCACAAAGAAGCCTTGGAATATCAGTACCTCTTGTGACGCAATATCTACAATACTTTTCTAAAATACCGTCTATTTTTCAGGAAGAAGATATCATGAAGGAAATAATGACAAATGGTCCTGTCCAAGGTTTGTCTTCACGCTCCAGTTTGAAGTTGTATAACACATGCGCCACTGACGACGTATAACTATGAGTCCTGAATCGTACGATGATAATACCACGCTTTCCAGTGTGTCTTATTGCGTTCCTAACGTCTTTAAAGAGAAGTTCATCTATACAGGATACTTGTGGTAACGGTTACGCGATCGGGAAAATTGCCAATTCAACTTTCATGCTATTTGGTCCAGTTCTCCTAAAGTCTTGTCTTCGCGCTTTGTAATCAGACGCTATATGTACGAAATGATACCGATGAGATTACTTTTAAAGTTCTACCTGTATCGATGTTTACCTGCAGCCACGATGGAGGTGAAGCCTGACCTGTTCTCCTACAGATCAGGGGTGTACAGACACACGGAGCTGGCGCAGGGGGAGCCGCCTGAGTACCGGCGCAGGGGCTGGCACTCCGTCAGGATCGTAGGGTGTGTACTGTATTTATGTTAACCGAAGGAAAACATATTGTTTTTGCTACGTTTCCTCTTCTTCTCCAAACCAAAATGGTCAATGGCATGAACTAATGTTGGGTTACATCATTTTCCAATTGTATAGCAGGGGGATTTAAACTCCCGTCTGACAATATATATGAATGTGTTTGAGTGAGACATATGCGAAAGTAAACATTATGCATTTGCTTTGCAAATGTTACCTTTCTAATCTTCTGTTTGTACTCATTCATCGCACGGGCAGACGTGGTTGTGACTTGCCACATCATACAATTTGTAAAATTCCAATACTCCTTTGCACATTATTAGCTGGATGGTTCTGTTTATCAGTAATCCGTAACTGTAAGTATAATCCATAACTGTAACTGTAGTAACTAACGACATGCTTTTGTAGTGTAGTGAGGGGCAAATAAAAACTTAGAACCTTGTATTTCACAGGCCACTTGGCTTCTTCACAATGAAAGACGGATAGTTAAGCTAGTTGCTTATGTTTTTTAAGAGATAACTAACAATGTTATGTTTTTCTTTACTCCCTGAAGTTGGGGTGTGGAGATGTCAAATCCATATCAGGCACCAATCAAGTACTGGGTAAGTTTTTTTTGCCAGTGCTTTCTTATTCACACATGACATATTGAGTCGATGTAAATGTGACGTGACGAATTTGTACGCATTCAAAATCACCTGTTCATCAGACATTGAGCTTTTTTTCTCCGTTTCCTAGACGGTGGCGAATTCCTGGGGCAAACAGTGGGGAGAAGAAGGTAAGTACACGCAGTGTTACCACTGTACAGAGTGTTGTTGAAACATGGAAATGCCCACAGGGAACATTGTATGTCTCACAGGACTATGATTAGTACAGGGGAATAGGCCGAAATGGCACCAAACCATGCCCCTACTTCTGACGATAGCAAGCTACACAGGTGACTGAGGTGCAAACAGCCAAACTGACATTTTAGTTAGCCGTAGTACTTTTTATCAATTCCGCTTTCAAAGCAGAAATATTGCAAATTAATAGTGCAAAATAGTGCAAATTAATCATCTAAAAAATAATTTGTTCAAATACTATGATGTCATTTCTTGATACGAAATGTGTTTAATGCATCTTGTCTTGTAGGTTACTTTCGGATCGTTCGTGGCGAGAACGAGTGTCAAATAGAGTCCTTTGTGCTGGGAGTCTGGGGAAAAGTCAACCCGATGGTGATCAACAACAGGGTCCAGAGGAGGAGGAGGAGGAGGAGTTTAAAATGATGCTGTTTTATGTACATGTTTAACTGTAAACAACAAATATAGTTGAGTGCGGTAGCTGTGATAGAGGTTGATATTGTGTTATGTTGTATTGCCATCCCTGCAGATAACGTCACTAGTGACAAAAGTGACACACACCTAACATTTCTTGCCACTTTCTATTCTTATTTGTTGTGGTATATTATAGTCTCAAAGTATCCTTTTGTTCCGAGTCCAAGCACTCAAGTATTGTATGGAATCAAATATGCATATGTATATGTATTATCTGTTGGATATAATTTATACCTTATACCATATCTAATGGTCCAAGGACCTCCTTCCATTTCGAACTTGTAGTGTTTCATGTTTATGTATGAAGAAATGTGACACGCGCGGTCGCCTCGTCTTACGGACCGCTAGATATACAGTATTTTTCCGAAGAAGTATTATATCATCGGGCCTCGTACCCTCTGCATACAAGTGTACATGTCATATTGGTAAATATCTCGTTGTAAACAACATCAATGTCAATGAGAGCGAACGAAAAATACACTCATTTGTTTAGGCCAGTACACTGAGTATCGGACTTTCATTCCCCTGTTTATATCACCGTTGTTTCCAACACTCTCCAGCTGAGAACTCTCAGACATGGTTGAAATATACCTTAATACGTCTGAAATAAATGTGTATACATTCCGGTTATCTTTGTCATGTACGTGTGTGTTCTTGCGTTGCTTCCTTGTCCCCTTGTCGGCAAACTGTTGCTTGTGATGTTTGTTGCCAACAGGCAGACAGGCGTGCACGCTTCCCTGCATGTGATTGGGTGTTCAGTACCAGGGACAGATGTCTTTCCTACGTGCGAAAGCGTTTCAGCACCAAGGACAGGTGCGTTTGCCTGTGTACCGATGGTGTTATACAACAAGAAGTGATTCTGTATGGACGGGGCCCCATATTATATATATGTTTCAGCTTAACCTGTAGAAGTTACTGCCCGCCTTTATGCTGCATCGCCCATTGTTCGAAAAGTTGTTCTGGAACCACAAACTCCCTGTGTTCTAGACTAGCAACGACGTTCGATGTGATTTGTTTACATTCTCAACTGACTGCTCGGAGCGGCAGACGCAGACTTGAGCTGCTCCTTTCCTCAACAAAAGTTGAGAGTTTGTTTGAAACAAAATAAATGTACAGGATTCTGAAAACAATCCACACATAGGAAAGACATCTGTCTCCTTGGAACCACAGTGCCCATAGCCGCTATCGACACCCCTCCCTCTTCTAAGGTGAGCCAGTTGGCGCCAACGCCAGACTCTGCTGTTGGGACCAAAACAAACGGCGACAAGAAGACGTAGGAGACTGCGGTAGACAAGGTACTACAGGAGAACCTACAGATATGAGTCTACCTCAGCTCCGTCATGACAAAAAACATCACATAAAAACTTGAACATGTATTTTTTTGTGTTATTGGGTTGAAATGTTCTTTAATATGGATTGTTTTCCTGAGATAATCCAGGCTTTTTCTGATTTTTAACCAAAGGAAATTACATACAAATTTAATAAGTATATTACAGTCATATTACATTTTGTATATCAATATATCAATCTTTAATGTCCATGGCATTGTTGCATTGCTCTTTTTACTCCATATTCAGACTTTATCATCAGTACAGAAGGAATACAGTCATGTTAGTATCTGGTGTGTATGTTAGACATTGTGTTGAACAGCCCATGTAGAACTGGTGGAATGCACTGCTATGCATTGAAAGAGAAAGGCCAATTACCAGTAAGTGAGTCTTGGTCTTCTGTAATCTCAAACTGTAATCTCAATATTATCATCAAATCATTTAGGCAGCATAAATTGACTTACATCTACATTCATGAGAACCATATGTACATTAATATCATTGTGTATATTTCTTATGCTGTGCAAAGTGACTGGTAGCACAGTCCTATTGTTTGATAACCTGGAGGTATGACCACATGCTCATAGTTATCTTACACTAATTTGTACAACTTATTAGCATTAGGGCCATTTAAGTCTAAAACATAATAGAGGTTTGTCAGACGTCTTTTAAAATGAGAGGATAAAGAAATTCATAAACAGGAACTCAAACAACAGAAAGATTGTGTTGTAGTAGAGCCCCCTCCGCCAGGTTTTTGAATTGACTGCAAGTTAATCTCTAAAAACTGATCACGGTGTAATCATGCTGGGCTCCACCAGGCTGTGATCGTGTCAGTCTGTCAGAGCTTGCTGGAGACAGCGCGGTCCTGTCTGGAGGACGGGAAGCCGTCATCAAACGCTGCCTTGAGAACATCACTCAACTGGTCAGCCAGGATGAAGGTCAACTCTTTCTGTAGGGGCAAATACATAGGGTCTGTCAAGTCTAGTTTCATGTCACATTATGAAGATCAGTACAACCTACAGCTCCTAGGCCTAATTTTGAAGACTGCATCTAATTGACAGAAAAATACACCACTAGTTAGCCTGTGTTACACCATCTCCCACTAATTGTGTCGGTCAGGTGGGCTGCTTAGAGCACATTTAAGTCAGACTACACCACTGGTCAGCTATTGCCATAGGTACATGTCATCTGTCCAATATATATGACTGCAGGTGAAGTATTTCTTACCCTACCCGAGCACTTCTCTGTGATGCTGTGTACTCACCCTGACGTTACTGGGGATGTCCTGCAGGTCCTTCTCATTGCGCTTGGGGAGGATGATCCGTGTGATCCCTGCACGGTGGGCAGCCAGCACCTTCTCCTTAATCCCTCCCACCTACACAAGGCACACACGACACAGCTTTTAAGGGCTGAACATATTTCATACTTTCTTGGGAAGAATTTTGTCATTAAAATCCATGTTTAAACTGATACAGCATCTAAACAAAGATCCAATAGACATATTGTGTGAATGCCCTTTTTGTAATTCTACTGTACTACAAAATTGCTTTCCATCCTGAAGTTCAAAAGCCTTCCTTTCCTCTCCTATCACGAAATAAAGCCACTGTGAAATAAATGCAGTTACAGTACACCCATGTTACCCTGTGTACTCACCGGCAGCACCACTCCCCTGAGGGTGATCTCTCCTGTCATGGCGGTGTCCCACCTCACCACATGGCCGCTGAGAAGAAAGAAAACTAAATCAACATACAGCAGCAAATTAGCACTCATTATTACTAGTACTTCAATGAATCACATATGTTCTCATATCTTTAGGCTTTATATACTACTATATGTTCAAGTCCTTTTAATAGACAAATGTGTTCATATGATGGCAATGCTAGATAAAGCCAGATACCCGGTAAGTGCATAACAGTGAGGCAAATTTCGAAGCTACACATGTTTCATGAATGTGCAGTTACAGCCAAAGGTTTTTAAGATCAATGTTAGAAATCCATGTGAGTGGTGAGTACCTGAATAGAGAGGCCAGTACGGTGACAATGGTGACCCCCGCTGACGGCCCGTCCTTCCCGATCGCCCCTGCAGGGAAGTGGATGTGCACGTCTGTACTCTCCATCAGGTCCTGCCCTGCTTTCTGTACCAGCCCGTACTGGGGGGACACAGCAAGATGATACTGAGTTTGTATTTGAGCTACATTGTGTAAATATGTACTGAAGTCCAAGACACAAGCCAGAATCTGTTGTGCTGCTTGCATACATGTATATGTTTCTACTGCAGCAACTTCTTTACAGATTTTGTGCCATATCTGAACAACAGGAGCTCACCTCCAGTGCATTACTGCGCAGCCAGCTGATGGCCAGCTGAGCTGACTCCTTCATCACATCCCCTGTGGGGAGAGAAGACTTGTGTGAACCTCATAATGCTGGGAAGTATTTAAGATTTTCATCAAGTTCTTGTTTCATCTCGTTGATTCTGCCTATGCATTTTCCCACTGGCTCTCACTCCCATAAAGCAATAGGCATATACACAGTGGGAAATTGAATGCAGGAAATGGGGGACAATATTTTCTGGGACCTTTGGCCTAACTTCTTGTCAGTCTTCCCAATGTGCCTAGCATTAACTACACAAACACTGAAAACAAAGCCTCCCTACATGCCGGTAACAAGTTACACTAATCTGGTAAGCAGCCCCTCACCCAGCTGTCCTGTCAGAGTGAGCTGTCCATCTCCGTCCATCCTTGTAGCCTCCACAAACATGATCTCTCCTCCCATCGGCGTCCATGCAAGGCCTGCAGGGAACAAATTAATATCTTCTACTAACAAGCTTCAATAACAACAGAAAAGACTGTAAGAAAGGAAAACCTTGAGTACCATTGGTCTCTACAAGGGTTATCCAGTGTCTCTAGTTTGTTACATGAGAGCCACACCTTGAGCATGTTAAAGATCCTACCAAAATTGTCAAAAAGAGAAGGGGTTGTTCCAAGTCCAATCTTATGCAGTTGGTGTTACAGCTAAAGCAAAGCAAACGAAGAAATGAAAGCTACATATGAGTATTGCCTTACCTACTGCAACTCCAGGCTGGTTCAACCTCTGAGACACCTCATGTTCAAACACTGGGGGCTGCAGAGACAGACAGACATTATCATATAACCAGCTCTGAAGAATGAAAGTTGGCTTTGTATCAATTAACCCCTGTCTTTTCTGGTATTTAGTATACATTCTGATGAGTAGTTTGTAAGATTACCTACTAGTATACTTTCTTTCACTAGTATACATTTCAGCACAGTCTTGACTTACCCCCAGTATATCCTTCACAGCGTGGTTGTCAATGACAATAGGCAGGTTGGGAGGGTGGTCCACATGTGGAACCTTCATGTCCTCATCTACAGCATGCACCTCATCAGTCCTGTCTTCTTCCTTGCTCTGTAAACAGAGGCACAAGTGGCATGAGGAGTTGTTGTTCAACAACACAAGAAGAGCAAGCATGTCATGTGTAAGTCCAGGGGAGGGTCTCCACTTTTGAATGACAATGAAATGTGTGATACAGTCAGTTTTTACATACAGTCAGTTTTTCTATAATTTAATAAACTGAACACTGCTGGCAACACAGATAGTACATGGAATTGTATAAATATAAATATGAGAATATCTAACCATCAATGTACAGGCTTAATGTCCAGTACTGACTTACTTCCTTGTTGTCAGCAGCTTGTTGCTTGGGTTTGGGCAGTCCTTCTGCCACTTTGACTGCGACAGCTCTGCACACGGCACCAAGTCGCCTCTCCAGGGTCCGCACACCAGCCTCACGGGTGTACCTGCCAACTATAGCCACACAGGGAAAACAGCAGTTTTCTAAACCATTTCACTATGTACAAATGTATAAACAAACCATAAAAAGGGGACACATCACATCTTAACATTCACATACTAGTATTAGTACTAGCAATGTGAAGAACTTTAAACTTACTGATGGTTTTGAGCCCCTCGTCAGAGAACTGCAGTTGTTCTCCAGTCAGGCCATGCTCCTGTGGGGAGAAAGTACACATTGCTTTTGTACTGCTTTTTGTATACATGAAAAAAGTAGTTAAGAATATTGAAATCTCTGGACTCCGGTGTATGACAGCAAAGTTGGGTCCTGGAATATGTCCCAACCTTGAGTTGCTTGGGAACGAGATGCCTGGTTGCTATGCTGTGCTTCTCCTCCTGTGTGTACCCTGGGACAGAGATGACCTCCATCCTGTCCAGCAGGGCAGGCGGGATGGTCGCCGTGGTGTTGGCTGTCGCTATGAAGATGACCTGTGACAGGTCAAAGGGCACATTCAGGTAGCTGGGTGTTTGGTTAAGGACATCTATACTAAACAGTACAGGTTCATTGGCTATAATATATTTTTGATCAGGAACTTTAACTTGCATCAATGATAGATAACATGTAATCCTTATACGCTCGGATTATCATCACAAATTTGTTACAGTACTGCAGTGTGCTACAGGCCACAGTGTTGAAGGATACTGATCTGTGAAGTGGGCGTTCTGTTCAGGGTCCAGCACCTCCAGCAGTGCTGATGCTGGATCTCCCTGCAGGCTTCTACCCTACAGGCAAAATAAAAGAACCGGGAATGTGTAAGAGGCACAGGCAAACTCTGCAAGCTAGAAAGTAACCTTGTTGTTATGATCTTATAAAACCTAATATATAGTATATTATGTAAGAAATTTCATACAAAAAATGCTTTATGCCCAAAAGATTTTTCTGTCATCTACACATGTTCAACTACTTTTCACAATGCGAGTTTGCAGAAACTAAGAGTCAAACAGCTTAGCACAATGAGCACACAATCAAGTCCTTATGAACAACTGTTAACCACCATTAGTACAACCGACATACCAGCTTGTCCACCTCGTCCAGTAAGAAGAGAGGGTTGTTTGTGCCGACAGTTCTCAGCCCCTGGATGACACGACCAGGCATGCTGCCGATGTACGTCCTGCGGTGACCCCGGATATCTGAGGAGTCCACTACTCCACCCAGGGAGATCCTGTGAGATGGGAGTATCTGTTGATAAACCAGGCTTTCTGTCTACTCTGCCGCACATCCAAACAATTGCACAACAGTATACAAAAACTATTTCATAGACCAAAAGGTCAAGGTCCCATACCAAATACAGTTATATACACACTCACACTATCCAGCACTGTTTTATTAAATTACATGTACCTAAATGTAGAATTATATAGATACATGTATTCAATGCTGGTGTCAGTCCCATAAGATTGAGGGGCTTTAAGTAAGCAGTTCTATAACAGAATAAACAGAATAAAAAGATAATTAAGTACAAATGTAAAAAGATAATTAAGTACACCAAACAATCTACCCAGTCCCAGAGCAAAGATTTCACCATATCCGCTGACCTGTGGAACTCCCTGCCCAGGATGTGTGCGATGGACCGGCCCACGCTGGTCTTCCCCACCCCTGGGGGTCCCACGAAGCAGAGGATGGGACCCCGCAGGTTGTTCCTCAGCTGTCGGACAGCCAGGTACTCCATAACACGCTGCTTCAGCTTGTCAAGCCCGTAATGGTCAGCATCAAGCTCTTCCCTGCAAGTGAGCGGAGTGCAGTTGGTATTCTTTGGTTTTATTCAGACAAGAAAGAATTACACAGACAAAAGCTATGATCTGTACATCTATGTGTTACTGTACATTGCAGTGTATATAAGGCATAAATAATTGACCCCCTCAGAAATATCAAAACATTTATTGCTTACAGATGTCCACAGCATATCGGCTATACAGATACAGATACACAGGCACAAGCCGCACAACCTAGCTATGCACATACCATATTATCTAGATTCTTATCAATACCTGCTTCAAAAATGGCAAACCTCTTTGCACCTGTTTCAGGTTTAATGACAACACGTTAGAACTATGTTACCTGGCATGTGTGATATCCAGCTGGTTAGGACTGCTCTTGGACCAGGGCAGCTCAGCCATCAGTTCCAGGTAGTTCCTGATGACAGCGTGGTCAGGCATGGCTGCTGGCATCTTCTTCAGGCGCTAGATGTTGGGAAAAATCAGATTAGAATTGGCTGATTGGATATTCTATTTGACATTCTGTCCAGCATAACTACTATTGGAATTGGCTGATTGGATATTCTATTTGACATTCTGTCCAGCATAACTATTGGAAAAACTATCACAGTAAGAGATTTACAAGCTATTCTGTGAATTCACTTACTTTCAATTCTCTAGTAGCAACCTTCAGAGCCTGGGCTGGAAGGTTGGCTTGCCTGCAGAAAAATAAAGCAGTTTGACAAATTCTCCAATAGAAAAGATTATTACATCATACATGTCAGCAATGTGTACATATTTCAGATCAATGTCACCTGTGTGACTAAAGTGATAGAATGCTCAAATACACAGTTACATGTATTTATGTCAGGAGTAACCTTACTTGATTTTGTTCTCCAGTTCTGTAATCTCGTCCACCTCCCCATCCTCATCCTGGTCCTGGACGATCCTGACGGGTCGGCGGCCCCCCTCTGCAGGGGGCTTCACTACGATACGGACATTAGAAATCTCCCTGTTCTTCTTGTTGCCCTGTTGCTTGGAATTCTGCAGAAGTCTCAGGCCCTAGAGATGTGTCAAAAGAGGTTACAGTGAATGATGATTCTTGCATGGTTCTAGATGTTGTAGGTTACTATGTCAGGAGGGAGCAAAGACAACAAAGGGAACATTAACATCAACCCCTACAGGGCCAAGTAATTATAAGGATACACGTGTAAACACTGCAACTCTCAACAATCGGACTATGCAGCCACAGCAGATGCTGTGGCGCAAACACATGGATACAGACTGAACCATGGTTCTGGCACCATCTCTGAGAACAGATGGCTGCCAAGAGCAGGTTACTGTTACCTCAATCTGCCTGAGGAGAAGTGGAAGAGTCTTCTCAAACCGCTCCCTCAGATCGACTGCATCAAGAACCTGAAATACAACACAATGTTAACTTTCCAGTCAGACAAAAAATAGAAGCATGTGGACCAGACAATCCATTTTGGTCCATCAAAGATTTTGTAGTTGACTTCTTGCCCTACTTGAGATGGGCAAATTTCACAGGCCACAGTTCCTTGTGAATAATACGTTTGCACAAATTAGATGAGTCATCTGGTAGTAAACTTGCCTGTGCATGGATAGGTTTGCACCTTAACTTACCTGTAATTTTTCTTTAAATGTTGCTTTGACGATAGAGGCAAAGACATCAGGGAGATGCTGAGAAGGAAGACTGTCCAGCATTTTCTGCAAGAGATTGTTCAGTAAATTATTATACATAATGTTTACTCTTCAGCTTTGAAGAACCTACACATAAGTTACAAAATCAAGAAACTTTCATCATTGTCTACATAGAAGCTGACCTTGAGTTTTGCCACCACAGGTACGGTGATGTCCAACATGTCCACCAGAACATTGGCTTTCTCCTTAAATGTGTCCAGCAGTGCAGACAACTCCTCATCATTCTCATCTGTAGGCAACATATATCACCAATCAGTTATGCAAAGAAAGCTTTTGACTTAAGCTAGACATTAGACATACTAGCACTACATATTTGAAATGTGCAAATGGCAACATAGCCTACAAATAAACAGTATCTTTCATTACCAATCTGTTGAAGATTTGTTGAATAATTTATTTGTATCCTATATCACCAAATTACCAGTAAGGTCTCCAGGCAGCTTGTCCAGCTGGGTAACCTGTGCAATGGGATACGGCATCTCCTGAACAAAGGCATCCAGTTTGAACCGGCACAGACCGGTCACCAGCAGGGTATAAGCTGGTTTGGGCCAGTTGGTACCAGTCACCTGGGCCACAACTGCTGCAGTTCCTATCTCATGGAGGGCTTCAAGGTCTTCTGTCTGTGGGATTTGTAAAAGAGACCAAAAACTTAATGTTGGCACTGTACCACAAAAGGATCAGCATTTCGGCTATGACAGTTTTTATGTGCAAAACAGTCAGCTTCGGTGCTTGCTTTTCTTTCTGTATTTGCCAGGGCTTGACGAGGGAATTTGGATGACAATGTAACGCTACATTTGACAGTAATTTAGAACAGAGAGTTATCAACATTGGGAAAGATAGCTTTCTTATCAGACTTGTCAATCAAATATTACCACGAGTAGCTCAATCTTACAACCTGTCACCAGTATGCTGAAATGATTCTTACCTGTGGGTCCTTATTGGTAGTTGTTGCCACACCTATAATGATACTGCTGAGACTGCTCCTCTTCATCACATGGTTCTTCACTAACTGCATACTGTAGAGGCAAAAACATAAAACAGTCTGATCAACATCATCTGCAAGATCCCTTATTGTTATTGATGTGTGCCACATATTTACATTGCGTAACAGCTAAACATTGTAGGTTTATATAAGCTCATAAGCCAGGTACAGCATCTTCAATATCAATAACACTGAGGTTACTCTCAGAGATTTTTTTCTTCTTTACAAAAACAAACAAAAACATGTTGTCTAGTCTAACCAAGGCTAAGAGACATGAATTGTATAAGGTCAATGGGCTTGGTGACAGGCAGGTCAGTGACCTCATTCACTACGGCCAAGTGGACTTTGCCAAAGTTACACAATATTTTCAGCAAGTTACTCCCCTGTCACTCGTATAATGATAAGATAGATTAGGACTTGATGTTTGTAAGCGGAGCCAAGCATGGCAAAATTTACACAGATCTGTTTGTTAAGTACACAGAAATACTATGATTTTTCTGATATAACGAAGTTACACATCATCACAGATTCACACACTTACGTAAACACACAACACACACCAAAATTTTTGCAAGGAAAATGGGTGTAACAGAAGCCTTGCGCAGCCAAACCACATGACAACTCATCAGGACGATACCTACTTTCTCGGGGCATGGACAGGTATCCTCATGGAGGAGCCTGGCAGCAGCACGCCGCCAGAAACCACCAGGATCGGCAGACGCCTCGGGATCCTGACCGATCGAGGCGCCATCTTCCAGGTACAAAGTTCAACCCTGACGAAACTTCCATAACCTTTCACCCGGAAATGGTCTGGAAACGTGCACATCCGGCCAGACAGGGCGCGGCGGTTGCAGGTTTGTGTTTCTAACTGTTCTTTTAAAGGTTGTGTGGATTTAAAGAGACGATGTTAGCTACAGGCTGTTTAGGAAGATCATATACATGGGAACTGTACAAGTGGTTAGATATGTCATCGGCTGGAAACGCAGAAACAAGCCTTCAAAGAAGAAGATAAGGATCGATACCATTCATGTTTTGGCGGACGGCGTGCAAGGTGGGAGGGGGGCGGGCCGGTATTTCGATGTAGAAAAAGTAACTTCATGAAGCACGTGGAATGTATCTAGGTCATATACCTGATTTCTGAACATAGTAGATGTACTTTTTGGACCTGTCAACTTGCTAAGTGATGTTATGTCTGCATATTCGAATGTATGGGGGGGGGGGGCAGTGTTACATGTATATATGTGAAGCATGAACTTCTGAAGGGATAGGTAGGCAACAAAAAATCGTGTCAACTTTTTCCATCACCAACTGCATTCTTTCAGCTGTGACCTTGTATCAGAAAGATACAAGTTAAACACATTTTTCTTCTGTGTTGCAGAAGTGGGGACAAGCTTGGCATGCAGTAAACCAGGACTGTGAGTACACGAGGGGATGGAGGCCATACTAGAGGAGCTGCATAAGCTGACCATCCCAGAGCTTCGGCAGAAGATCAAGGATGAAGGTCAGCCCATGGGACCAATTACCGCCACCACGCGTAAGCTGTTTGAAAGACGACTGGCTCAGGCTCTGTACAGTAAAAACAACCCAGAGCCTCCAGGAGAGGACACCCCAGACTTTAGTGAAGATACAGGGAGTAGAAGTGCAAGCACTGAGACAGACAGCTCCGATGTGACACTGTCTCAACCAGCAGTATCAGGCAGTAATGCTGATGGAAGCACCAATAACAGTGACAGGGGAACAGAGGAGGGATCACAGGCACAGGTAGAAGAAGAAGAAGGTGGAGAGACTATGTACTACGCTGTCTCCTTACCCCCTAGTGATGTATCATTGGCTGCTCACGCCAACGGCTTCGACCCTGATCAACCTCACGTGTACACCAAGAGGTCAGAGGCGTTGACAACTCTGAAGAAGGTCAAAGGGGCACGTTTTAAGGCTTTTAAGAACAGGAAGGACGCTACTGACTTTTCCCTGCAGAAAACACCACCAGTACAGAAGACATGTGAAGCAGATGCTGAAGCTGCAAAGGCAGAGAAGGCCAACAACTTCAAGGCCCCCAAGGTGCCTGAGCTGAACCGCCTGAGGAAGAGTTTTGAGCAAGGGGACAAGGTGACCTTCACGGAGACTGTCTGGAACAACCCTCGGTTTCTCATCAGCTCAGGGGACACGCCTCGTCATACTGCAGGAAGGGTCTAGGTGGAGCGCTTTACACGTCGCAGCCAAAGCCAACCTGCCCAACTATGTGTGAGTTGGTGTTGGACATCTTACAGGATCACGAGTTCCTTCAGCTCATGTATCCTGAG